ATTAATATTATAATTTATTTTATAATAAATAAAAAAGAAATTATTTCCAAATTAGCATTTTTCATTCTGAAGTTTGATTAAATTTATCAACATATTTCGAGAAGAGAATAATAATTCCAATTTTTTCCTTTAAAATTAGATTTACTAAATGGCTATATTAATTGAAAATACAATTTTTAAAAGAAAATTTTAATTTATCTTAAATTCAATAATTAAATTTAAAAATTATAGAATTCTAGGTAAATAGAATTATTATTTAGCAAATGCTTGGATAAAACATAAAATGTTAAAAATTTTGGATTAACTTTATGTAAGATTTAAAATTTATTTTCCCCAAACAAATTAATCTATTTCAATAAGAATAGGGATAAAATATGAAGAAAAAGTTTTTTATTAATAATTTCGAACCCTTTGGAGTTTATAAATAAAACATCAAATTATTAGTAATTACAAAATAAAAAAATTATTCAATTATAAGAATTAAAAAATCAAATGAAGAATAAGTATTTAATATTAAAAGATTAATTTTTAAAGAGAAATGATTAGAAAAGTTATTAAACTGTTTTTCATCAACTATTTTTTTTTTATTAAATAAATCTAACATGAAGTATATCATTTATTAGTAATAGATAACAGTTAAATATTGTAAAGAATAAAAATTATATAAATGTAAAATAATACCATCCATGTTTACAAATTTTTAGGATTCATGAAGGAAAGTATTATGATTAAGAATAATGATAGTAATAATAAAAAATAATGTATTAGAATTGTAATATTCCAGATCATGAGACGGATGTGGAATTTCTTTGTACAAATGAATATTGTAAAGATTTTAGAATATTTTGTTTCAAATGTTTGTAAAATGAGAAACACAGCACTCATATTAGAGATGTTTAGAAAATAAAGGATTATGGGAGAGAATAAATAAATAGAAATGACGAAGATTTAGTTTTAGAACTTGAGAAAATGATTGATCATATTAATTAAATATTTTTTACACTAAAAGAAGAATTGAAATGCGGTAATTAGATTAGTGAAGAAGAATTAAATGGATTAAATTTAATTCAATTAAATGATTTGATTTGTTCTAAGATTAAGTTTCGCAAAGAGAAACAATATTTAATACAAACAATATAAAAGAATGCAGATAGTTTGATAGAAACAATTTATACAGGACTAAATGAGTTCTCATAAATATAATTTGATTGTCCAGGAAAGAAAGTAAAATAAGAGATGAAAACTTAGAAGTTTGATATGATTAATTCAATATAGGATGAATAAATAAACTCATTTATTTTTAATTAGGATGCTTCTATATTGGTAGGAGGGTATGAGTCAAGCAAAATATAAGTTTTTTAATTTAAGAAGGGTGAAATAAAATTAATTTAATAATTAAACTTACATAAGAAAAGCATATATTGTCAATATTTTATGAAAAAAACAAATGAATTTTTATCAGGTAGTTGTGATAAGAGTATTTCAATTTGTTATTAAAATAATAATTAAAAATGGGATTTGAAATAAAGATTAGAAGGACACTAAGGAGGAATCAATTGTATAGTAATGAATAATGATGAAGATTTATTAATAACTAGTAGTGATGATATGTTAATAAAATTTTGGAGAAAAGAGAATGAATAATGGGAATGTTAATAAACAATTGGAGGACATTCTAGCTTTGTTAGTTGTATTAGTTTAAATGAAACAGGAAATTAATTGGTCTCATGTTCAAAGGACAATTAATTATTGATACATCAATATGATTAAATATAAAAGATGTGGATTCTAGGATAAACAATACGTATAAAATAATGGGGAAGACGATTATGTTTTATTAACGATATTATGATTGCTTTTTAACCTGAAAAAAAAGAATAAATGCATATTTATCATTTAGATAATGTTGAATAATTGTTTATAAAATCATAAGAAATTTTAGTAGGAGTAGGGAGTGAAAGAAAAAAGAATAGAAGTTGTTTTTGGTTTTTTCCTTAATAATATGTCTAATCTAAATAGATAATTTTAAATAAAAATGGATGTTGCGTTAATTTAATTAAAAAAGATTAAAATAATGACTTTGTTACTATATAATCTATAGATTTCTAAACTAAAGCTATATTTGGTAGAATGACAGATGATGGAGAATATTTAATAACATGGGATGATAGGTCAGGTTCTATTTAGATCAGATAATATATAGAATGAGTCAATTTATATATTTAAATATTAAATATATAAAATTTAAATATCATTTAAAATTATTTAAGCTAAAAATTTTCAAATAAGTTAACAACAACGACTGCTATTTGAAACTTAAACTAAATGGCATTAATTATTTTAATCATCCATTTCTTATTTATTTCGAAATTGAAATGCATCTTGAAGTACCTATCTAAATTTTTTGTTTTCTTATTATTTTAAAATAGTAGCGCTATGAAATTCTAGATATTATAATATAATCAAAGTATCTTAGATTCCTCTTTTCCAATATTCTGATTGTGAATTTGTTTCATAATTATTTTCCAAAATTGATAATTTAGATGTAAAAGGATTTAATGCCCCATCATCATATTATATATTATTTGAAATTTGTTTTTTTGCTAGAAATATAGCTGCAAATTGAATCTCTTTTTCTTAGTCTGAAGGTGACACAAAATATTTCTTTTAAATTTGAGTTAAAGCTTCTAATCTATTTTAAAACTTTTTTTCTTTAACTCTTTCTACAGCATAGTCTAAAGCTGCATTAATGGCAGTAAATATTGTTCCTACAACTGGAACCGATCCTATAATAAATGAACTAGTATTTGATATATTTTTAAGAATTTCTACAACTTTCTCAGAATTAGATTCAATCATTTCATCACTATTTAAGGCAATAAACTTAGTTGACATTAATTACATAGCATGTAAATAATTATATAAACGCCAAAATAATGATTTATAATACAAGAAGAGGTTCAAGTTTTCAGGTCTTTATAAAAATTGCAATTCTTATTGTAATATATTTGAGTCTTATTCTTATAATTATAAAACTTTAGATTCTAATGAATTAATTTTTTCTTCATTCTTATTCTGTGATTCTTCAACTTTAATTGTAAGAATTTTAATCTATTAATCAATTTTAGATAGAAAATCTAAAATTTATTAATGCTATTATTAATTAAATTATTCATTAGTAGGTTTCAAACCAATTGCTACCTATTCTTAAATCTAAATGAATTCTTCAAGGAAGGCTGCTTTTTTTTATTATCCATCAATTGAACCTGCATTTGTTAAAGCATTAATATTATTTCTTGCAACTTAAAGTTGACTATCAATATCTGCTATCAATTTTAATTAATTCTAAATAAACTCAATATTTTCTGGTGAAAGATGTCTACATTTAAATTTAGAGTGAATAATTGATTCTAAGCAACCCTAGGCTAATGAGAAGAAATTTTTAGCTTTATTGTAATCCTTTTGAGAGTAATATAAACTACCAAGATTAGTAAGATATAAAGGATTTCGAGGATTAATATCTATAGCTTTATTATAATCTGCTAAAGCATTATCTATTTATCCTTCTCTCTTATATAATATACCTAAAATATAATGATAAAATAAAAAACCTCTTGTATTATATGTTTCTGCATGGGATGGATTACGTTCTAATATGATTTTGAAATCTTTAAGAGCCTTTTCTTTTTAACCTTATTCATTATATAAATTGCCTAATAATTTAATGAGAATATTTAACCTCTATTATAAAGAGAATTTAAATTATTTGGATCTAATTCAGCAGCCTTGAAATAATCTTTAAATGCTAAATCAAATTTATTTAAGTCTTTATACAAGATTCCTAAATTTAATAATTCCATTACCTCTACTATTATAAGCCTCAGCATTATTTTAGTTGAGTTCAATTGCTTTATTAAAATCTGCTAAAGCCTCTTCATTTCTTTAGATTTTTGTCAACAAAATTCCTATTATAATTTATTAAATAGGTACCTCTGTTACAAAATGTATTTGATTTTAAAGGATTAAGCTATATAGACATATTGTAATCATCAAGTGATTCTTTTTTTAAATCTTAATCACTATAAAGATTAGCTATATATTAGGAATGTATTTACCTCTGTTGTTATAAGCATTTGAATTAATTGGATTTAACATTATAGATGTAGAATAATCAGTCATTGCTTCTTAATCTTATTCCAACTCATGATACACACTACCTATAAAATTAAAACTGAATTATATACCTCTGGAATTAAAAGCTTCAGCATTCTTAGGATCTAATTCAATTACTTTATTAAAATCATTCAAAGCCTCTTAATTTTTTTTAATTTTACTATATAATAATGCTATAAATGTTTTTGATAATTACCTCGATTATAATAAGCATCTGTGTAATTAGGATCTAGATCCAGAACCTTTTAATAATCCTTCAATGCTTCTTCAGTTTTATTTAATTTATTATATAATATTGCTATAATTAATTAATGATTAAAATTACCTCGATTATAATAAGCATTTGTATAATTAGGATCTAAATCTAGAACTTTTTAATAATCTTTCAATGCTTCTTAGGATTTACCCATATCATCCAATAAATTAGCTAATTTTAAGAATCTTCCTACCTCTGCAATAATAGGCTTAAGTGTAATTATCATCTAATTAGATTACTTTTTTATAACTCTCTAAAGCATCTTCTTACTTTCCTAGTTCTTTTAATAATATTCCTAAAATTATATAAATAAATCTGTTACCTCTATTATAATGAGCACTAACATAAGATGGATTTAATTCTATTGTCTTATTATAGTCTTTTAAAGCTAATTCTTTTTCTCCTTTTTCATTCAGTATTAAAGCTTTAATCATTTTATAGATTGATACCTCTATTATAATATGAATTTGATTCTTTTGGATTTATCTGAATTGCTTTATTATATGAATATAGAGCTTCTTCCTTTTTACCAAGTTCGTTCAAGAGAATGGCTACCAAAATATTTTTAAAATACCTTAATTATAATAAGCATCGCTATTTTAAGGATCAATATCTATCAACTAATGATAGCATTAAACAGCTTCTTCATTTCTCTCTAACTTACCCAATAATATTGCTAAAATATCATTACATTTATACTACCTCTATTATAAAATGCATTCTTATTTGTTGGATCAAGCTAAGTTGCTTTAGTAAAATCATTTAATGAATCATTTATATTCTTATTCATTGTTAGAACTCCCCTACTATAATATATGTCTGCATTTTTAGGATTTAATTCTATTAGTTTATTGTAACATATTATAGACTCATCAATTTTACCTAAATTCCTCAATTATATAGCTAAACTTATATAAATACAAAATACCTTTATTTTCATAAGCATCTAAATTTTAAGGATTCAATTCAATTAGTTTTTAATAACAATCAATAGATTAATTTAATTTTCCTAATTCATTAAAGATATTAGCTAATTTAATCTAAAATTAATACCTAGATTATTGTATGCATCTTCATTTTTTGAATTTAAGTTCAATACTTTCTCATAATCCTTTTAAGCATCTTCTAATTTTCCCAAAATTTTTAATTTAAATGCTATTATTATTTTATATTTTTACCTCTTTTAAAATAACAATTCTCAAATTAAGGATTTAGTTCAATTGCTTTATTGTAATCTCTTAAACATTCTTCATTTTGACTCAATTCTGAATGAATAAGACCTATTGATAATTAATTAAATTTTAACCTCTTTAATAGTAAGCATTCGAATTTGATAAATCTAATTCTATAAATTTATTCAAATCCTTAATAGCATCTTCAAATTGTTTCTAATTCTTTAGTATTATAAATCTATTATAATATGCACTCTTGTATTTTGAGTCGAGTTCTATAACTTTGCTATAATCTCTTATTGCCTCTTCATCCTTTTTTAAATCCAAATACAAATTTCCTATTTTTATTGATCAATTTATTTTACCTCTAAAAAAATATGCTTATATTAATTTTGGATCTAGTTCTAATGCCTTTGAAAAATCTGTCACTGCTTCATCTATCAATTTTTTATCAGTAACAAACCATGCTATGTTTTTACTAAATTGATTACCTCTATACAAATATCCAGAAGCTAAATTTGGCATTAACTTTAACGCCTTATTTACTTCTTAAATTGCCTCTTCCAATTTATTTTATTCATATAATTCCTTCAATAACAAAATATTCTACATAACTTAAATCCTTATGCTTTATAGCTTGTTCTTCATTATCAATTGATTGATTTGTATTACTATTGTTTTACATCAAACTTTTAATATTTAGTTTATTCTCTAATAAAGACTTAAAATACTAATTTTATTAAAACAATTCTATTTAATATAATGATTTAAGTACATGTGAAACCTATTAAATTTACTTAATTATGTTCTAAAATGTATCAATTTAGTTTGAAAAGTAACAGAATAATTAGACAAATATCTAATAAAAATTTCAACAAATATTAATTAATTATTTTTTGCAGAATTACATTAATATATGTGAATAGTATAATATAGTTATATTAAATAAAATTTAATATAAAAACCTAATTAATAATAGTAAAAAAATCAAAGAGACAGAGCTTTATGATTTTAAGCTTATAATGGTGACAAAATTTTGAGAAAAATGAATAAATTTGCTTTGTCAATGCAAAGAATTTTAATAATTTGTTGATTAATTTAGAGGTTTTAAGCATCTTTTAAAATTATATAGTTAAATAATCTAGAGCCCCTTCTGAAACGGATTTATTAGTCTTATAATGATATCTATCTTTTGGTATAATTAAACTGCCTTCCCTTTTTACTAACAAAAGGCAATGTTCAGAATTTAATATCATTAAAATATTGTAAAAATTAAAAGCTTTTATGAATCTATTTAATTTATGCAATGCTCTAGCTAAAAAAATAAAAATTAAATTATCACCTATAATGCATAGTACATTTTAATGTTAATAGTGTAATTGCTAAGAAGGAATAAATAGATTATCTATTATATTTATATTAGGCAGCATTATCTGACTTTTTTATTATTTCAAATTTAGTAAGCAAAATTAACCAAATTTCAATATTGAAGAATCTAAATTATACTATTCTGATTCTTCAGGAAATTTATCATTCAGAGAAGCTTCACTTACTCTTAAATTTCATTTATTTTATCTAGTTAATTTATGAATCTTAATCAAAATTAAATAAATAAATTAGCAAAAACTTCAAATCAGGGTTTAAATTGTTTAAAAATTTCATCTAATTAAAAATTGAAATTAACTTTTATATAAGAACTAACATTGCTAGGGTTTCCATGTAATTCCAAATCATAAATTTCTAATACTTCTTAATTTTCTTTCAAAAAATTTAATTTATTATAAAAAAAAAAAATTTAGGAGAAGAGCTAAAATTATAAATTTTAACTCAACTGTGTTAAAGTAATAATTAACTTTAAGAACATTCATATATATTTATTTAAATATTGCACCCTTTTCAACATTTTATATTCTTATTCACAATGTCACAGCTGTTTGAGGAAATTTTTCTAAAGTTCTAATTTTTTCTTAAAGAATAATCATAAATTTGACATAANTGATTTAAGTACATGTGAAACCTATTAAATTTACTTAATTATGTTCTAAAATGTATCAATTTAGTTTGAAAAGTAACAGAATAATTAGACAAATATCTAATAAAAATTTCAACAAATATTAATTAATTATTTTTTGCAGAATTACATTAATATATGTGAATAGTATAATATAGTTATATTAAATAAAATTTAATATAAAAACCTAATTAATAATAGTAAAAAAATCAAAGAGACAGAGCTTTATGATTTTAAGCTTATAATGGTGACAAAATTTTGAGAAAAATGAATAAATTTGCTTTGTCAATGCAAAGAATTTTAATAATTTGTTGATTAATTTAGAGGTTTTAAGCATCTTTTAAAATTATATAGTTAAATAATCTAGAGCCCCTTCTGAAACGGATTTATTAGTCTTATAATGATATCTATCTTTTGGTATAATTAAACTGCCTTCCCTTTTTACTAACAAAAGGCAATGTTCAGAATTTAATATCATTAAAATATTGTAAAAATTAAAAGCTTTTATGAATCTATTTAATTTATGCAATGCTCTAGCTAAAAAAATAAAAATTAAATTATCACCTATAATGCATAGTACATTTTAATGTTAATAGTGTAATTGCTAAGAAGGAATAAATAGATTATCTATTATATTTATATTAGGCAGCATTATCTGACTTTTTTATTATTTCAAATTTAGTAAGCAAAATTAACCAAATTTCAATATTGAAGAATCTAAATTATACTATTCTGATTCTTCAGGAAATTTATCATTCAGAGAAGCTTCACTTACTCTTAAATTTCATTTATTTTATCTAGTTAATTTATGAATCTTAATCAAAATTAAATAAATAAATTAGCAAAAACTTCAAATCAGGGTTTAAATTGTTTAAAAATTTCATCTAATTAAAAATTGAAATTAACTTTTATATAAGAACTAACATTGCTAGGGTTTCCATGTAATTCCAAATCATAAATTTCTAATACTTCTTAATTTTCTTTCAAAAAATTTAATTTATTATAAAAAAAAAAAATTTAGGAGAAGAGCTAAAATTATAAATTTTAACTCAACTGTGTTAAAGTAATAATTAACTTTAAGAACATTCATATATATTTATTTAAATATTGCACCCTTTTCAACATTTTATATTCTTATTCACAATGTCACAGCTGTTTGAGGAAATTTTTCTAAAGTTCTAATTTTTTCTTAAAGAATAATCATAAATTTGACATAATTAATATAATGAAAAAATAAAAATATTGATTTTCAGGATAGATTAATCCAAGAAAAAATTTCTTGGATTTTAGTGAAAGTCAAAGAAAATTTTTTAGAATTAATAGTTCTTTAAAAATTATATTTATTCGTTTAGAATCAGTTTTTTTTAACTTGGGAAACAAAAGTTGACTTATTTAGAGATCTTGTCGATGCAAGAATAAATATAATTTTTAAAGACTATTAAAACAAAAAAAATTTCTTAACATTCACTAAAATCTAAGAAATTAATCCATCCTCAAAATCAATATTTTTATTTTTTCATTATATTAATTATTCATTTAATAAGGATTTCTCAAACTGTGAAATTTATGATTATTCTTCAATTTTAAATCAATTCTAACCAAGCAAAAATTTTAGAACTTTACAAAAAATTTCCTCGAAACAGCTGTAATACAATTTAAGCCAATAAGGAAAAATAAATTCTTCTTTATGAAATCATAAATTATTCAAAGTTATTAATATAAATTGTCATTTTTTCTGATTTGATAAAAAATTAGCTGACAATATTTGTTAAATCAATTTTTGAAGTTTAAATCTATATTTATATAATAAAATTCAAAATAATTCATTTAAATATAAATTATAATATAATCAGTATCCTTTTAACTTAATATTACTAAACTTTCTAAGGAATTAATGTGTTATTCAACCTTATCTTCCTAAAATCCTTAGGTATTAAGAAAAGTATTCTAAAAACTAAGAGCCCTTAAGTAGAAATATAATAGTGCCCTCAATAATTGTGATTAAAATTCATTTTTAAGACACTGTTTCATTGATTATGAATTAGTAATTTTTAATATTTAAAGGCTTAACTTTTTTTCTGAAAAAAAGCTACAAATGAAAGAATAACTGATAATAATATTGAACATCTTTTAATAAGATTGAATAAATAAAGTTTGTTTAATTTTTAAGTTTTATTAGTTTATATAATTCTTATTTTAAGATTGATATTTGTCTTCTAATAATATATAAGTCTGATATTGTATATTAGACATGTAATCTTATATTTCTTTTTAATAAAGTGTTTTCATTCTTAATTTGAATAAACCAATTGATATTTAATTATCTAATTTTCTTAAAATTGACTAATCCTATTAACAGAATTGCTATTCATCTAATAAACTATATCTATAATTTTAAAGTCTAAATTTTCGGAAAGGCATGGATGTAATTGAATGAAATTAATAAATTCTTTTATATTATATATGATGATCAATTAATTTCTTTATAAATTCATTTATATTAATTCCTTCATAAATTTAAGTATCATTACCACTAAGATATCAGATTACGTTAATATATTGATTATTAATCAAAAGATAAAATAAATAAAGATTTAATATAACTATAAAATAAATAATATGTATGTATGTATATATATATAGATTAGAATTGTTTAAAAATGATAATAAATTTTCTGAATGGTAATTTTAATTGAAATAAATAGAATAGCATATTATTAAAAAAACATTTATATTGTATTAATAATAATATAAAATAAATTTTCAAACTTTAATTGGGTGTGTATTTTTTTTAATAGTTCCAAAATACCTATCTCCAAAATCTCCAATTCCAGGTGCTAAGTAATTAATATCTTTTAACAATATTGGATCTACTTGAGCTGTAATAATTTTGATATTTGGAAATTGTTAAAATACTTTATTCAATCCTTATTCACAACTAACCAAAGTTAAAAATATGATATTTTCTTGTTTTACACCTTTATTTAATAATAATTATAATGCCATGCTTGCACTTCCCCCTGATGCTAACATTGGATCTACTAATATAATTTATTATTAATTTATATCCTCAGGAAGCTTTTCAAAATAATATTTAGGCATTGATGTTTCTTCATTTCTTTGTATCAATATTTATCCTATTGATGCTCCACATATCACTTTTAAACCTTCATTCAAAAATGCATTACCTGATCTAAGTATACTCACTATACATATCCTAAATATATATTTATATATTATATCTACTCTTCATCATCATATTTCACTTCATTTGCTTCATATAATCCTAAAGGAGATTACTTTACATATTTCTTTTTTTCTATTTAACACAAAGCTTATTCCATTAGAATTCTTATTAATCTGTCAGCATTCTTTCGAAAACTCTATAAATTTCTTATTTTTTTATTACCACTATATCAGCATTTGTATCTCTTATCAAAGAAAGNTAATACAATTTAAGCCAATAAGGAAAAATAAATTCTTCTTTATGAAATCATAAATTATTCAAAGTTATTAATATAAATTGTCATTTTTTCTGATTTGATAAAAAATTAGCTGACAATATTTGTTAAATCAATTTTTGAAGTTTAAATCTATATTTATATAATAAAATTCAAAATAATTCATTTAAATATAAATTATAATATAATCAGTATCCTTTTAACTTAATATTACTAAACTTTCTAAGGAATTAATGTGTTATTCAACCTTATCTTCCTAAAATCCTTAGGTATTAAGAAAAGTATTCTAAAAACTAAGAGCCCTTAAGTAGAAATATAATAGTGCCCTCAATAATTGTGATTAAAATTCATTTTTAAGACACTGTTTCATTGATTATGAATTAGTAATTTTTAATATTTAAAGGCTTAACTTTTTTTCTGAAAAAAAGCTACAAATGAAAGAATAACTGATAATAATATTGAACATCTTTTAATAAGATTGAATAAATAAAGTTTGTTTAATTTTTAAGTTTTATTAGTTTATATAATTCTTATTTTAAGATTGATATTTGTCTTCTAATAATATATAAGTCTGATATTGTATATTAGACATGTAATCTTATATTTCTTTTTAATAAAGTGTTTTCATTCTTAATTTGAATAAACCAATTGATATTTAATTATCTAATTTTCTTAAAATTGACTAATCCTATTAACAGAATTGCTATTCATCTAATAAACTATATCTATAATTTTAAAGTCTAAATTTTCGGAAAGGCATGGATGTAATTGAATGAAATTAATAAATTCTTTTATATTATATATGATGATCAATTAATTTCTTTATAAATTCATTTATATTAATTCCTTCATAAATTTAAGTATCATTACCACTAAGATATCAGATTACGTTAATATATTGATTATTAATCAAAAGATAAAATAAATAAAGATTTAATATAACTATAAAATAAATAATATGTATGTATGTATATATATATAGATTAGAATTGTTTAAAAATGATAATAAATTTTCTGAATGGTAATTTTAATTGAAATAAATAGAATAGCATATTATTAAAAAAACATTTATATTGTATTAATAATAATATAAAATAAATTTTCAAACTTTAATTGGGTGTGTATTTTTTTTAATAGTTCCAAAATACCTATCTCCAAAATCTCCAATTCCAGGTGCTAAGTAATTAATATCTTTTAACAATATTGGATCTACTTGAGCTGTAATAATTTTGATATTTGGAAATTGTTAAAATACTTTATTCAATCCTTATTCACAACTAACCAAAGTTAAAAATATGATATTTTCTTGTTTTACACCTTTATTTAATAATAATTATAATGCCATGCTTGCACTTCCCCCTGATGCTAACATTGGATCTACTAATATAATTTATTATTAATTTATATCCTCAGGAAGCTTTTCAAAATAATATTTAGGCATTGATGTTTCTTCATTTCTTTGTATCAATATTTATCCTATTGATGCTCCACATATCACTTTTAAACCTTCATTCAAAAATGCATTACCTGATCTAAGTATACTCACTATACATATCCTAAATATATATTTATATATTATATCTACTCTTCATCATCATATTTCACTTCATTTGCTTCATATAATCCTAAAGGAGATTACTTTACATATTTCTTTTTTTCTATTTAACACAAAGCTTATTCCATTAGAATTCTTATTAATCTGTCAGCATTCTTTCGAAAACTCTATAAATTTCTTATTTTTTTATTACCACTATATCAGCATTTGTATCTCTTATCAAAGAAAGAATATGCTCAGTTTACTTTCTATTTAAAATCGATAAATTTTTATGTTTCTTCATTAAGTTATGTAATTCGTTTTCACTAAGAAAATTGTATTGCTCATTTCTATTTAGGACATTATTATTTTTTTATTAAGAACATACTACAAATGTCCCATTAACCAATCCTAAGCAGAATGCTAATTTCGTTATGTTTTTAAGCATTTTTAATACTTTATTTATTTCAAATTATTAGAACCAAACCATTCGCATTTCAATAACACATTTTAATCATAATTTATATTATATTCAATCAGATCATGTAAATAATAAAAATTATATCTCGAATTAAATGTTTTTTATTATATGTAATTTTATTTGATTTATAAATATTATTAATTATTTAAAGTTATTTATTTTATAAACTGAATATATAAGATACAAAAATATTCTAATAATCTTTTATGTCCCCAATCTATTACAAAAAAGTAATTTATAAATTTATATTTAAGTTATTTATATTTCATATATTTATAAGATTTTGTTAGACTATATTTATTTGTTTCAGAGTCACTGTATAGAGAAATTTATTTAGAAGTTTATCAGTTTATATAGTATTGAAAAAGGTTAATGGAGTATGTCAAAATATATATCTAAGATATATACTGGTTTCATTTAAAGCATTTTGATTATTAATAAAACTTATCATCTTTCAGATTATGTAGCCAAAATTAAAATGATGTTGAAAGCATGATAGCAGATATATATATTGGGAAACTAACAGTTAATTTTATTATTAATTTTAACTTTAGTGCGATTAATTTAAAAATACTTTCTAATTTCTTAAAATATTATTGTTTAAAAGTGTAAAATAGTTTGTACTTGAATATGACATAAATAATATATCAGTATATATTAATTTATCTTAATGATATTTTTATATAAACATTTTTGATTAGCAAGTGCTTTTTAATAATAAGCTAGACAATTCTACCAAACACTAGACTAGTAGATTTAGAGATATCATTATTATAAAAGATAGCTGTATTCTTTTGTATCCACTTTTATCTTTTATGATTCAAACATTCCAAATGTTCCATCAAATGATCCTTGTTAAAATTATTTAGGCACATTTTCTTTATATTCATTTTCATATTGAATATCTCCAGAGTTCCCTTTAAGGTTTCTATTATATATTTTGATGTTCCTCTATTAGTCAATATAAACTATATCATTGGACATGTTAGAGTTATCTTTAGATTCTTTTTTTATTTTATCTATTCATTTTTATAGCAATTATTAGAGTCTTTGTACTCCATTCATTTATTAGTTCATTAAAATATAGATTGAACAACATTTGCATTATGAGAGAGCCTTAGTGAACTCCATTTTAAAAAGATTTTAGTTTGCTTATAGCATAATCTTATGTTAAACAATTTAACATATGAATAAATATTGTCTTAAATTTCTCACAATTATAAATAATAATTATACTCTCAAAAGCCAAGAAGGATTATTAAATATTTAAAATCTTAAATTTAAAAAATAGAGAACATATATATATACTAATTAAATTATTTATTAAATATTATATGATTTATATCCAATCAATTTCTCCGAAGCTAAGGAATTTTAATATTAGTTTCACTTCCTAACTTAATCTCTTCATTGATTGATAAATGACTTAAAAATTTAAAACTTACAAATCCATTATTATTATCATATACTTAATCCTCTAATTCTGAAGGTACATTTCTATTCCGAGAATTTAAAATATCAACTTTTTTAATTGATCCTTATAAATCCTCCATTTTCCGAGTAATTCGTAAAGGATTAATAAGTATTTCAGTAATATCAAGGAATTAATTGATCATTATGGATTATGTTTAATAGAACTATCTTGAAGCAGATGAAGTTATTAATTTATAAAAATTTAATTCATTTTTAAAGTTAGACTNTATATTAATTTATCTTAATGATATTTTTATATAAACATTTTTGATTAGCAAGTGCTTTTTAATAATAAGCTAGACAATTCTACCAAACACTAGACTAGTAGATTTAGAGATATCATTATTATAAAAGATAGCTGTATTCTTTTGTATCCACTTTTATCTTTTATGATTCAAACATTCCAAATGTTCCATCAAATGATCCTTGTTAAAATTATTTAGGCACATTTTCTTTATATTCATTTTCATATTGAATATCTCCAGAGTTCCCTTTAAGGTTTCTATTATATATTTTGATGTTCCTCTATTAGTCAATATAAACTATATCATTGGACATGTTAGAGTTATCTTTAGATTCTTTTTTTATTTTATCTATTCATTTTTATAGCAATTATTAGAGTCTTTGTACTCCATTCATTTATTAGTTCATTAAAATATAGATTGAACAACATTTGCATTATGAGAGAGCCTTAGTGAACTCCATTTTAAAAAGATTTTAGTTTGCTTATAGCATAATCTTATGTTAAACAATTTAACATATGAATAAATATTGTCTTAAATTTCTCACAATTATAAATAATAATTATACTCTCAAAAGCCAAGAAGGATTATTAAATATTTAAAATCTTAAATTTAAAAAATAGAGAACATATATATATACTAATTAAATTATTTATTAAATATTATATGATTTATATCCAATCAATTTCTCCGAAGCTAAGGAATTTTAATATTAGTTTCACTTCCTAACTTAATCTCTTCATTGATTGATAAATGACTTAAAAATTTAAAACTTACAAATCCATTATTATTATCATATACTTAATCCTCTAATTCTGAAGGTACATTTCTATTCCGAGAATTTAAAATATCAACTTTTTTAATTGATCCTTATAAATCCTCCATTTTCCGAGTAATTCGTAAAGGATTAATAAGTATTTCAGTAATATCAAGGAATTAATTGATCATTATGGATTATGTTTAATAGAACTATCTTGAAGCAGATGAAGTTATTAATTTATAAAAATTTAATTCATTTTTAAAGTTAGACTTATTATTATTATTTATTAAATGATTTTATTATTTTATTAAAGAATTTGTTAAATAAAGTCTATAACTTAAGAGTTAAAAAGGATACAGAATAATATCAAAAATAACTCTTAAGATTGTAAAGAGACCTCCAATTTTAGCTGCAACGTCCATTAATGTTTAATAAGTAATAAAATGTACTTTTTTTTTTGCATCTAAGTTTAATTCAAATAAAGCTATATTATTATTGTCTTCATAATTTAATGTACTGTCTATTGCTGTATTTTCATATTCTATTCCTTCAAGCTTTTCAACCTAAGGAAAGAAGTAAAAAGGATTATATTCTATAAAACTCTAAGAATATTTGAAATATATCCTAATGTATTTCCCAACTTTATTAAAAATAGGAGTAGAGTCTATACTTTAGGCTTTTTCATATGGAGAATTATTTTATTCTTTATTAAAATAATGGAATGAATAAGAATAATAAAGATTCGAATTAGTGATATATCTATCAATTTCGTCTATTGGAGCACAATCTAATATTTTTATTAGATATACTTTAATTATATGTGTTATTTTAACATCTTTATACTAACGCTCCAATTTATGTAAAATTTTCTAATTTTGGGGATCCTTAAATTCTTATGTTTGGATTTTCTTTTAAATATTATTCGTCTATACAGTAAGTGATGTCTAGATATTTTTTAGGTATTTCTATCTATTTTAATCATAAAAAATATTACTAAAGACATATTGGAGTTGAGATTACCACAAATAATACTTGGTATATTTACACAATTAGTTTCACCATATTATTTACTGCAATAGTAAAAACTGATTGTAAATATTCTATTATTATCATTTTTAATAGGCTAACCCATTTAATCTACTAATCCAACAGCAAATAGCAGTTCAGTAGGATCAAATGTATAACCCTATGATTTCAAAAAAATTTATACTTCCTAAGCAGAAATAATAGCATCTTTAGAATTAAGAACAGCATTCTTTCCTCTGTTCATATCTAAAATAAAGGAATTACTAGAATATGCTAAAATAGAAAATAAAATTAAAGTCATGAAAGCACCAATCTTAGTTCTATATGCTGATTGACCATTTGCTAAGAATCTTATTTCTTGCCCAAAAATATCTAATTTCTTAAAACTTGAGGATATATAATTCATTAAATTAAAGATAACTTCAATATTAAAATTTATTCAAAAGTAATAAAGAAAATATATTATTTATTAAAGTATTATTTTATATTTTATTTATTACTAATTAATAAGGAATTCATAAATATTTTATCACATCATTGTAAAGAGTATGGTAATATTTAATTATTCAAAAAATTGTTAATTTATAAATAAATCTAACTGATTCATTCTTATTAAGAAATAAGTTTTTATTATAATATTAAACAAATAATTTACCTTTTTATATTCAAACAAAAAAAATATTATATATTAAAATAAACTTATTCTTTTTGAGAAATAAATCAGAAATCAACTAATAATTTAAAATAAAATTTTCAGATTCTTATCAAATCGATTTGGAATATAAAAAACTCCATTCAGATCTGAACTAAATTCGATAAATATTTTAACCATAATTAATTGAAAATGATATTAATAGACTTTTGTAATTAGAGAAATATTACTAATATTTTTTTTTATATATAATTTTAAAATATCAGATAATCAATGATTAAAATATAAATGAATTAATTACATCAGACTTTATAAAATAAATTTGAATGAGTATTCTTTGAACTTTATTTAGCAAATTTTTTCTATACAATTTTTTGAATATCAAAGCAGATAATGATTAATTATAATACAAAATTTATAAATAAGACTGACAATAAAATTCCAATTTGAAACCAAGCAAATATTATAAGAATGTTGTAATTAATTTTAGCATAAAACTCATTCCAATAGATGAAAGAGGAAAAACAAAATATAAATGATGCAATTTCTAGGGCAAAAGTGTTGATACAATGATATTTATTCTCAAAAGGTTTAAAAATAAAAAGATAAATTAGATAAAATTAGCAAACAAATGTCAATAATATTGTTTAAATTTATTAATTATGCTGAAATAAGACTAATATTCCAATAAAAAAGGTTTTTTTGATTAATAAAATATTTTAATTTCTTGAAATCCATGATTTTTTAAATGATCTACCAGTTTTATTAAAAATATTTGATGAAAACAATAAGATTAAGTAAAATATTAGGTAAGAAATAAGATTAGTAAAAATATTTTAAGTTTATTTTTGTATTTAAAGAAAAGCCATAAATAGCATATCCCAACTATTAGTATTTAAAAATTCTTAAAATCCTTTATTTTAGATTTGTTTTTTGTACTTTAAAAGGGACTTTTAGGTTTTGATTAAAAATATGGCAAAAGAGAAACCAAAATAAAAATATTTTGATTGGTTTAATTTTTAAAGAAAGTTTATGATAAAAATACTTGAATAATAGGTAAACATGAGTATAAGAATTAAGAATATTTGTGTTTAGATATTACTTAGAATATTAGAGTTAATTTGATAGAATTAAAATTTTTGATAAGATTCTATGTAATCTTCTTAAATTAGGTAAAATAGATATGATTTAAATTGAATTTTATCTAAAATGAAATCGAGAGATATCAAATTAGTAGATTCAAAGAAAATAAATAAATTAAGAGGGAATATAACATTAATAAACCGATGATATGATTATTATTGTAATGTTTAAATAGTTTCTGAAAGTAAAGAGGAACTACAAAAGCAAAAAGTAATAATTCCTGAGCTTGCCATAGAAATGATTGTATATTTAGCAATATTTTATAGTAATGTAGCAGTTTATTTTGTGTGATCATCTATGTACTCAGGGGGATTAAGTTTAATGCTATTTTTTAAATTTAAAAGAGGAGCCCCATTTTAATTATAAAGTTAATCTTCAAGGATGATTTCAAGTAGAGGTGGTGTAGTTTATATTGTATTTATTTAAATTTCAATTTCATATTTAACATCTGAGATTGTTGAGAATGGTTCTTAAATAGGAATTAAATTTAAATTAAAGAGTCCTTATTCTACATTTAATAGATTAATTATTATTTTTTGTGAATATTAATTTGATTTATAATATTAGAGTTGTTAATCAAAATGTATTGAAACATACTGAAATTAATAATATGTTTTAATTAATGACAGTTTGAATGATGGATATTTTTCATAACTACATTCAGTAAATGAATAATCAAAATTTTTGCATATTTAATTGGATTCAATAAGACAGTTATTTGAACATCCATCAGAATTTTGATTATTAAAATCATCACATTCTTCATTTTTGGTTACAATACCATTACCACAAATTTCAAGACATAATTAATTACTTATATCTAATTAATATCCATATTGACATTAATGACATATTCCTTAAATACAAATTTCACAATTAGATGAGCATAGATATAAACAATTGTAGCATTCTTAATTTTGATATTATAAATGTAATTCACAAATTTCATCAGGTATTAAAATACCATCACCACAAACTGGTTCACATTAATAATTAATATATTAATAACCAAATTAACATTGATATTAATAATCTTTATTAGATTCAGATGTTTGATTTTCAGAATAAACACATTAATCAATATCTAATATCCATCCAGAATGACAATCATAACACTTACCAAATTAACAATCTTTACATTGTTGTTAACATGAGAATTTGCACTAATTGCATCCATATTATTATAAATTTGATGAATCTAAATAATTATCACATTCTTCTATTTGTGTTATTATATTATCTCCACATAAAGGTTCGCATTAAAATTAAATAATATTAAAAATCCATCCAATTTAACATTCAATACAAATACCATCTATACAATTAGAACAACCTTGAACACATTAATATTAACAATTAAAACATCCATCAAATGGATATATATTACCATCATCACATTATTCAAATCCTTCTTTATATCCATTACCACATTAACTTCCACATGATTAATCGAAAGAATATCCAAATTAACAAGCTAAATATTATATATATAATTATACATATAAATAATTAGAAATCTCTTATTCCAAAAGATGATATTGAATATTCATTTAATAATGTAGATGTAAATTTAATTTCTATTTATGGATTTATATGTTTTATAGTAATTTCATGATTTAAGAAAGTTTCACCATATAATTAATCCCCACATAAATTAGTATCTTTATTCATAGATGTATGAACATAATTCCACATTAATTAATTATCAATATATAATTATGCATATTCTGAATTCCATTAATCAATAAAAATAAACCGATATTTTATTTTTACTAAACTATGAACTGGTAAATCAATTTACTTCATAATTATACTATTTCTACCTACTAAATTGTATCCACCTAAAATTGGAATAGCTATCATAAATTATAACATTATTAAATACATAGACATGTACTCTATTATTTGAATCCATAATTAATTATCCAACCTTCTATTTTCAATTGACTATTATCATCTCTTGATAAACTATTATTAATCATAATCCAATAAATGCATTCTGTTCTAGAATCACTTTATATACATGTAATACATCCAGATGGACATTTAAATATGTATAATCTAAAATCTCTAATACCCCAAGATTTCTTTAATATATAACATATATACTATATCAGATGGTTCATCTATATTTGTAGTCATTAAAATTACAATTGTTTCTTAATTGTGATACTCATTAATACTTATTGCTTACTTTTTTTCTTTCCAATTTGGACCTGCAAAAGGAGCTCCACACATAATTTATGATGTACTTATAGATTAAAAATTGCTTTAGATAACTAACTTTTAATCTAAATATAGGAAATAATAATCATCCAAATTCCAATAATCTATTCTATATTTTATTTCTTAATATTACTTCCATAATTCAAATTCAATCTTTACTGCATAATGAGGAGGTAATTAAATTAATTTTGTAATCTTTGCATCTATTCCAAATGCTTTATAACCTCCAAATAATTTTGTTAAACCACAATAAGAAATTTATTTATTTTCTCCACTTACAAACCATCCTAACTTAAATTAAGTAATTACCTTAAGAATCAATAAAGTCATCACCTACAAAATTCTCTAAGTACAAAATCTAACCATAACAATATCCCAGTAGGATAAATTAACTTATATGAAACATGATTAAAATCAATTAAAAAATAATATGGAAATTATTAATCAAAGACATATTTCAATATACCTAAATACATTTATAATTGATTTCATTAAAAAAAATACATTACATCACTTCATATCTATCTATTGAATAATCATTTTCGATTATAGATAATTATTAAAAGTAAATACAATTATGTGGAATCGTTAATTTAATAAATTTTTGTCTTATTCAATTTTATATATAAATAAAAAATAATTTATGTTAATCTCGATATTTTAAAATCAAAACATTACACTTTTGACTACTCATCAAAAATAGTTTTGTGTGTTGATTCTTTTCCATCTTTCCATAATTATTTATTAATTATTAATTATTAAAGTTTATAAATTAAATAATTAAATTATTTTTTATATATTTAATTCAATTAGAAATTAATTTTGCACTTATATATAATTAAATAATTATACTTTTTAAGTTTATGAAAAATAGCAACTTTTATCTATATAAATAGAGTTACCTTGATAAAAGAATAAACCGAAAATCAAATGTATAGAGGAACTATATAATCATTAATTTTTAATTGTTAATTATTCTTATATATACATAAATACTATAGTTCCAGTTATATTCAAGGATAAAAGAATTATAAATAAATTATTTGAATTTACATTTCATTGTCGTATTAACTATTTATCAATTTCTTAATTAGTTTAGAAATTTCACATCTATTCTAATTTTATTTAAATTAATCCAAAAAAAATATTTATATAAAATAAGTTTCAGGTAATTAAAACATTCCTTCTATTTTAAAGTTTATCATAAATATTCAAATTTAACTTTAGGTTATTAATATTCTATTAATTTATGGTTGCAAATAATTTTATTGAGATCTTTACTGATTTATATATATTACTTATCGTTGAGATTTTGCCTTAAATTATAATTAGAATAGTAACCCAACTATTATTTTGATTATGATTAAAAAAAAATAGCAAAGATGAAGATATTTATTTGAAAAATTATACAGAATCTTGCATGGTTTAATTCTGTAAATTTCTAATTCTCATTTTAGAAGGATTTAAATAAATATAAATCAATATATATTAAAAATTAACACAATGTTTCTAATAACAAATAAGTTATGAATCATTCAAATCTAAATAATTAGATAAAATAAAAAACTTGATTTAATAACAAACTGATTCACTCATAAATATATAAGTTTTAAAAAACTTAAAATATCAAATTAGAAAACAAAAGTTTAGATAAAAAGATAATAAAAAAATAAAAAACTTTATAAATGGATTATAAAATTAATGATAAAAGTAAATGTATGCTATAATTCTTTAGAAAAACTTAAAATTGATTTCAAAAAATAATAAAATGAATAAGAATAGATTAGAAATTTTGAATTAGAGGAAAGATATTACAATTAACAATCTGAGATTGTAGAATTAAGAAAAAATAAATCAATTTAGAATAAATAAGTAGATATAATAAAAAATAACTAAAATTCTAAATTACAAGATAGAGATTCTTAAAGTTATTTTCATCAAGGTATACAAATATTATTAATTAGGTTTGTAATTAACAAGATAAAAAAATTATTTGGGAGCTATTGAAATGTATGAAAAAGTCATCATTATGAATCCTACTTATTATCCTGCTTTAAATAATAAAGGTTAATATTTTCTATTAAATTAAGGTTTATTGTTATCAAGATTAAACTAATTTGAGGAAGCTCTAGAATTATTAAAATAAACTATTTTGTTATAACCAAATAATGATCAAGCTTATAATAACTTAGGTATATATATGAATAAAGAAACATAGGGATTGTTTTAAATAAACAAAAAAAGTATGATGAAGCAATAAATTGTTTTAATTAAGCTCTTAAGATTAATCCTAAAAATTGGAAATCATTTCTTAATAAAGGAAAATTTTTATTGTAATTATTAGGTTGTGCTTTATATGATTTGAAATAATATGATTAATCATTAGAATGTTATACCTAAGCTATTGAACTAAATCCAAAAGCTGATTAAGCTTTGAATAACAAAGGTTTATATTAAATAATTAATAAAAAGGTTCCTTATTAAGAAAGTTAGACAGAAACACAGAGGCATTAGAATTCTTAAATAAGGCAATTGAAATTAACCCAAAAAATGATATTGCATTAATAAACAAAGGTTTTTTAAGTATCAATTTAAGGTTTAACTTTAATAAAATTAAATTAATTTGATTAAGCTATTCTATTTTTTGATTATGCTTTATAATTAAATCCAAAAAATGAGAAAGCTACACTTAACAAAGGTAAATTATTATAATTCCATTAGGATTGGCTTTATTTAAAGAATTTCATTATGAATAAGCAAAATAATAATTTGAAAAAGCATTAGAACTTAATCCAAATTATGATAAAGCATATTTAAATAAAGGTGATAATTTATTTATTTTAGGTGTTTTGCTAAATAAATTATTATATTTTAAAGAAGCTGAAGAATGCTTTAATAAAGCCATTTCAATAAATCCTAAATATGCTGAGGCTTACTTTAACAAAGGTTATCATAATAATTTTTAATATTAGGTATTACATTATAATCTTAAAAATTGCACTAATAAGCAATAACTTATTTTGATCTAGCATTAAATCTAACACAAAATCATTAGTTCTACAGACAAAAAGGTTCATATAATTATTATTCATAGCTATTTCTTTACTTATATTGAATAGATATCCTATGTTTAAATACTATATGTAACAATTAGGATATTCATCTACAGATATTATTATATAATTAAAAACTTAAAAATGAAATAATAAACTATCATAATATACATTTCTAATCTAAATAATTTATATTTGATATATTCTATAAAATATTTAACAATTTAAAAAATTAAAATGTGCTTATTTATTAGTTTGAAAACTCAGAAATTATTTCCATATCATAATTCCATATTTTGTTAATTTCAACAACAAAAAAATAAACCCCAACATATGAAATGATATATTAATAAATACTTTATTTTTATTCTCAACAAAACTTTTCTTCTAACATTATTTAAAACATTTAAAATATGTTTACTATTAATAAGTGATTAATCAAAAAGCTTTATAATATTAACAATTTTATTATTATTTAATTTAATTAATGTTACCAATTAGAAAAACTTAGAAAAGAAACCTGTAATATTAATGTGCATAAAAATTTTTGTCTAAATCAGTAATTTATGATAAGATATTTTTAATAAAATGATCAATATAAAATAATAAATGTAAATTATAAAGATTTAAAAAATATAATAAATTATGATTATATAATTTTAAGACAAAATTGATAATTCTGATATTTTATATAATTCTGATTTAAAACTGATTAATTTTGAATTTTAGTATATAGAGTGAACATTCTGATTTGAAATTTTAATTGATATAGTTTTTAATTACATAATTTTTTTGACATCTATATAGAACATTTTACCTCCTTTAATTTAAAGTTTAAAAAATTTAAAGATTATATTAAAATAATAAAAAGAATTTCTTGATGAATAAAAATGATAAAGATGATTGGAGAATATAAATAGAGTAATAGTATAGAGATGAATCAATATATGGAAGAGTCACTTTAAATTTTGAATTTAATTAAAACTTTGAATTAGAATACAATTAGGAATAATGCCGAATAGAAAATCATTATTTACAAGATGGAGAAATTTAACTTTTTATTCGACCAATTGATCTAAATATTGATTATTATTATAAAAATGAAAAAGATGAAGAAATAAAATGTGATGTATAGGACTATTATTTGAGTGATATATCTGATTATGATGATTCTCTTTAATCTTAAGTTGAAGGTAGTTCAAAGTTTTATGTTCCATATGTTACTATTAGTCCAGGTGGAAAGTTCTTAATTATATGTATAGAAGTAAGTATTTTAGGAAAGTATTAAACATAAAGAATAATAATAATTGATCTTATTAATCAAAATATTAAGAAAGTATTTTATAGAACTCATTTTATTGGATGTTAAAAACCTTATTTTTCTAAGGATGGTAATTTAGGTATTATTAATATTACAAAAGATACTGATATATCAAGATTCCTTTTTTTAAATCTACAAAATGGAATATAAAATGAAGAAATCATCTAATTTGATGATATTCAAATTGACTCTATGGTATATGATATTTAATCTGGATGCTTATTTTATATAAATTAATAAGGTTAAATTTACTAAGTACCATTTAATCTAAAAGATTTTACTATTGATAAATCAAACATTTAAATATATGAAGTTAATTTATAGATACCTGAAGACTATTATCCTGTTAAAATTTAACTTGCTATTCTTGGTGATCAATATGCACTTATTGCAGATGAATTTGGTCAATTAATTGTTATTAATATTCGAAACAAATCCAAAATTATTAAGTAATATAATTATGAAGAATATTATTTTTCATAATTTGTATTTAATAAAGCTTTTGCTGTTATTTCTAATTATTATTAGAATTAATTTTAATTAATTAATTTATCTAGTGGCAAATTAATAAGATCAATCAAACAGGAGAACTAATTAAATTCAATATATTAATATTCTTCTAAATAATCATATCTCATGTCTATGATTCCATATAAGGTTTATAAAGATGAAAATTTAGAAATAGATTCTCCTAGTGAAGATAATGAAGAAGATGTAGAAAAAACTATAAAATGGATTGTTTTTGATTTTATTAGAGGAACTCATAAAGAAGTTAAAAAAGAAAATCTTACAAATAAAATGATAAAAACTAAGATATTTACTCATGACTTAATAGTTCAAGTTTATGATAATAATATAATATATAAAAAATAAATTAATTGAATTTATTAATTAATTAATATATACCTATATTTCTCTTAATTTATTGATTAAATTTTATTAAAATATGAAGTTATATTTGAGCATTTTCAAACTATAATATAATTTTAATACTAAATAGATAATATCTAAATTTTTATATGATATTCACAATACTGTCTTTCTTTTTCTATTTATTGATTTGTATAGATATTGTTCACAAAAAGAATCAATTGCATAGCTATTTATAGATATAAAAAACTATCTAAAGTAATTATTTCACATCTGAGTTTTTTACGAATATATTGTTTTTAATGTGAATGAGATAAATTATTAATCAAAAGCAGATAGTTTAACTTGTTTTGCTTAAAAAACTATACAAAAGAGTAAAAAATACAATGATTTTTATCATTAAATAATAATCTATTTGTTGCTCAGGTTTCTAGATTATTATTTATAAATTCCTAGTTTTAATAGTAGATCAATCTCATTTTTTAAATAAATAATATTGAATTTTCAGTTAAAATTACCATTAACTAAAGCCCCACAGCTAAAAACAACTTTGGGACATTATATGCAATCAAAAAGCTTAAGAATTTGAAATAATGGTCTTCAAAGATCAAGAAATATTTACAAAGACTTGCAAATTCTACAAGAAGTTCATTTTAACAGAAATTTATCATTGGTACTCATAAATTATTTCTCCTTATGTCTTCTTTTGAAAGGAAATTTATAGAGAATTGGAATAAATAGTTAGAGCACATATTTCCATCACTAACAGCAAGCCATTCAAATGAAAAGGCCCAGAACCTTAAAAATCAATGTTTAAAAGAACTTCTTATATAATTTGCAGTTTCTTGAATAAATTAAATGAATTTGAAGACTATTATGAAAAAAAAAGAGGTTGTGATAATATAATTATACATTATTAATAAAATATGTTTATATTCTAATTAAAAATTTTTGAGAATTTCTTTTTTAATTAATATTATACAAACCCTTTCTAAATTATTTATGTTTATTAGAATTAACATCAAAAATGATAAATTCAAAAAAAATTCCTTAAATTTATAAATACTAATTGTTAATTGAAATTAAATCATATATTATTCCTTTTTTCATCGCTATCTTTTATCAATGATTTAACATTAATATTCCTAATTTTATGAATGTAAAAAGTAACAATATTATTGAAATCCAAAAGTTTATTTAACATGGTTTTATTACTTATCAATAATAACAGTAGTAAATAAGAAATCAAAATAGAAGAAATAATTTCTTACAATGAAAATTTAATCTTTATTTATTTCAAATAAAAACAATTTATAGTTATAAATCTATATGATTTTCTTTTTAATATGTAAATGTAATTTAATGATCAATATTCAAATACAATAATTTTTTGCTTAAATACAACAATAATTTATTTGTAATAAATAATCGAATTGTATTTACTTTTATTAATTTATTTCTATTAGATTTTAAATAAAAATTTTAATTAGTAAAATCAATATAAATACTTGAAAAGTTAGAATTAACAATAACTATTTTTATTTTTAAATTTACTAATTTTATAATAGAAAACCAACTTTTTTACCTGCAATCGAAGAAAACAATAAATTAAAATAGTAAATCCAACAACCATAACCAAAGCACAAACTTATTAATATATTGCTCAACAATATTAATAATTCATACTTTTCATTTCATATATGATTAAAAAGTAAGAAATATCTAATAAACAAAAAATATAGAATTTGTAGAAAAAATAAACTAATTTAATTAACTTATCAGATTAAGAAACTAACTAATCTTTCTGTTAAGATATCATAAAAATGCAATCATAAAAGCTAAAACAAAGCAAAAAAAGATTGTATATGTAAATATAGAATAAAACCAAACTAAATATAAAAAACATATTATAAAAAATGCTATTTTTTAAAAAGTAAATATATTATGTAATTAGAACCCTTTGAGTTATGATTTAATATTAATTAAAAAAGTTTATCCAATAGTTTTAATCATAGGCAGTTATGGAGTAGGTAAAACAGAACGTATGAAAACTTTGTTTGAACATATTTTTGATGAGTTTGAAGAATATTAATTATATTCATCAAAAAATGATGATTGTTAAATTTAGAATTCTGTATTTTCTTTTTTCAAGCTTAAAGACATAATTTTTATTAAAAAAAGGTATAGGAAGAACTAATTTGATAAATAAATTGAAAGAAAAATCATTAAAATAAATTGAGAATAATTATAAATTTAATTTAAGAGATACAATATTTGATAAAGATAGAAATCTTGAAATGAAAGAATAATAAAATAAACTTTGTATAAAAGTTTAGGATGAAAAAAATTAATTTTGTTAAAACAAATAATTATTAAATCACATTCATTGTAATTTATATACCTATTATTTCAATCAAGTATATCTAGTGTAAATTTATATAATGGTTGTAATTTAAACAAGACCTATTTGAAAGTTAAATAAAAACAAATTAATGTACTTACTATCTGTTTATTGGTCTAATTTCTAATTTAACTAGAGTTAAATCTATGGAATCTAAAATTGAAAATAAAATAATACTAAGAATTCAGACAATTGGAATGAGATAAATAATAAAAAATACAATTCCTAGACCAAGAACAACAATATTTTGAGAAATTTTAAACTTTATTCTTATATATGACTGGTGGAAGATTTAACTTTTGATAAAATTATAATTAAATTATTCTATTTCATGAAATGCTTGATTTGATTTCTATACTTTTTTTTAAATTTATTTAATAATGATAGATAGGATAAAAAAGTTTCATATTCTTTAATTAATATAAATCTTTATCTAATTCAAAATAAATATTCTACTTTAAAAATAGTTCTTCTAGCTCTATAATAAATTATATAATTCTAACTATAAAATTCTTATCCATTGACCTTGTTTGCTTTCATTTTTATTATACACAATCTCCAAAAAATCTAAATTTAAATTTAACATTTAATTATTCATATTATGAATCATCAAATCTTAGAAAAGAGTGCCCCCCTTTTCCTTTTTTCTTTGCATTTTTGTATTCTCATAAAAATGATAAATAGTGGCTTCTTCAAAAAGGTATTAATCAAAACTCTAAAATTCTTTTAATCAACACAATTCATTTTTATCACAATTAATTGCCTCATCCAAAATTATTGGAAAAATTAATGGAAATAAATAAATTTATTTTAATTGACTTTAAGATATTTAAATATAATAAGCCAAAAATTTAAAGTCTTGGAAATTCATTTAAAATTAAAAAATTTATCTTAAATTATTTAAAATTTCATAAAATTTTATAAATTATAACTCATTACTTATTTTCTACCTCTATTAATATAATTAATTTTAAAAATTTTTATAAGTTCTCGATAATAAATAAAAAAATAAATGATAAAATTTCACAATCTCACCTTTTAAATAATATTGATATTAACATTATTTCAATTCTTTTAAATTTATAGGTCATCTTAAATAGATGATTGAATATTGTTTATACTTGCTCATTTTTAGGGAATTCATAATATTTAATAATAAAATTTAGAATTTTTTTCATCTTTTGGGTTTATGAACATATTCTTATTACTACAATATAAATTTAATATTTAATTAATGCGATGAGATTTAAAATATTTATAATCATTCATAATTTTGATAGTTGTTTCTTTATATAATCCTTCTCATTGTGTCCTTTTTACAATGCAGTTAGATAAAATTGTTTTGCTTCTGATTTCCTTCCTAATTCAAATAATGCATCAGCTGATATTATAGGATGTTTTTACCTTTTAGTTTCAAAGTCACAGGCTTTACATGAAAAGAAAGATCTTGATTATAACATTCTATTGCCTTTTAATATTCTTTTAATTGATGTAGTGCATAACCTTTATTTTCAAATGCATAATTGTTTTTAGAATTTATTTAAATAGATTAGTCTAAACACTCAATAGCTTCTTAGAATTTATTTAGATTATTTAATACTGAACCTAAACAATAATTTAAGCATTTTAGTACCTTTGTTATTCCAAGCCATATCATTTTTAGAATTTATTTAAATAGCTTTATCATAACACTCAACAGCCTCTTAGAATCTATTTAATTTTTTTAATGCAAATCCTAAATAATTATATTTAAGAATCTTCTACCCTTATTCATCCATGCATTATCATGATTAGGATTAATTTCATTAGCTTTTTCATAGCATTCAAGAGCTTCTTAAAATCTATTTAACTTCCTTAATGCAAAACCTAAATAACAATTTAAGAAAAATAAAGTATTACCCTTATTATTCCATGCATAATCATCTTAAGAATCAATTAATATAGCTTTGTCTAAACACTCAATAGCCTCTTAAAATCTATTGAGGTTGTTTAGTGCTAAGCCTAAATAATATAGTTTAATATTAAAATACCCTTATTATTCCATGCATATTCGTGATTAGGATTTATTTCAATAGCTTTATCGTAACATTAAATAGCTTCTTAGAATTTGTTTAAGGAATTTAATGCCCAACCTAAAACATATTAAACATATACAACCTTTGTTATTCCACGCATTATCATGATTAGGATTTATTTCAATAGCTTTGTCATAACACTAAATTGCCTCCTCGAAATGATTTAAACTATCTAATGCAAATCCTATACTCTTAAAAATTAATAAAACTACCTTTCCATACATATAAAATGTAATCCTTATTAAATTATTTTATTGAATCATCAAATTTAATCAAAGCTTCTTTTAACTTACCCTCTTTAACTAATTTTTACCCTAATTTTTATTTAAATTGTTTTTACCTTAAACAAATAATCTTTTAGCTTCTTATATTTTTTATTTATTCTACTCTTCACTGATCTTATTTATTTCTTCAATTTTAGCTTTATTCAACTTTCCAGAAATAATTAGATCATAACATTTTATTAAATCTCTCAGTATAGTTTTGATTGTATGAAGAATATTATTCAATTATGATATCTATTCATCTTTAATATATAAATATAATCAATACATATTTATTTTTCATTTTCCTTTGAGTAGTACTATTTCAATATAAATATTTAAGACTTAAAGGACAAGTATTCTTTGCTTTAAAATTTTTGATTCATGCTCTCTAATATTTTATTGTTTTGATCCATTTTTTTGAAAATCTATTCAAAACAGTTTATCAAATCATTGTAGATTTCTTTAAATTGTTTTGTTTATTCTCTCTAAATTTGTATTAATTAATGAATATATTTGCTCATAATGGTTAATCGAATCAGGGCAGGATTCGTTAAGACATACAAAAGAAATATATTCATTATGGTCGGAAATAGTGCATGGTATCAAAATTTCATTCATTTCTTAAATTTTTAAAGAAATTTTGATTTAATTATAAATGGAGCTTTATAGAAAAATATATTTCAAATAATATGTTCCATAGAGCTATTAAAAAAAATTTGTCTATTAGAATAATCTTTAGAGTTCTTTCGGAATTAATTAATAACCTATCAATAAAAAATGAATGAATGATAGCCAAAGTGAAATTTAATTGAATTTATATAGAGAAAATTTCTACTATCAAAATTCATAATTTAAGAGAAAAAAAGTTGATAAATAATTATTTTAAAAATAAAATTGCTGTATTGATTTATTTGTTCAAATTATTCTAAGAGAAAGTATTTGTTAAAATCTAAAATAACAGATAAAATATTATTTTAATTAGTTGATTCTTTATTAATAAATTTTTAACAAAATCAATATTACTTGAGAGGGAATTTGTAAGTATTTATCAGTATATATATACAAAGCCACTAAAATTATCGATATCGTTTCTTCAATACTTGATAAATCTTGAAATAATATATATATATAAATAAATTAATAAATAAAATAATTATTTTCATATTATGATTGATATTAAATAAGTAGAATATCAAAAACTCAAACTAGTTCCATTTAAAAGTTAGTTTATGAATAATCTATGAAGACCTTTAAAATTAAATTTTATATAAAGAGAATTAGAAGTAAAGAAATTGATTTTCTAAGGCATTGAGCTTCTGTAAATGTTTTAATTGCTTACTTATAACCAAAGAAAATTAAAGTATATTTTTCTAATTTATTCTCAAGGATACTAAAATAACCTTATTTCGTGAATTATTTTTTTCCCGCAAACTGTTTTTATTACTTTTTATTTAATTAATATTTCATAAAGTTTTTATACATAATTAGAAAAAGAATTTATATCAATCCTTTATTTATTTATTTTAAAATAGAGAATGAAAATAACATAAAATAAAGATTCAATTTCACAATATTATTGAAACATGATGGTTATTCCTTAAACTATTATTTTTTAGTTTTTGTGATGTATTTATGAGATCCTTTTCAATCAAATTATTATGAATACCCAGTCTTAAGGAATTAATATTGTAAAAGAAAATTTCCATAACAGAAAAAAAGCTAAATAAACAAAGACTTTCTTTTAAATCTGAAAAGCTTTAAAAACATATTGATATAAAAAATAACTTTAAAAAAATAAAACAATAAAATTTTTATCCAACTATTTTTCTTTATACTCACTTTTACTTCAAGAATTATCATTTTATGTTATAATTTACTAAGATGATATTGGATGAAGAATTTTTATTCGATTTATGAGCCATTAATCTTCCTACTAATAATTTCATCAACTTTATTATTAACTATTCTGAAAGGACTCTTTTCAATCATAAACTGAAAGGACCTTTAATCTATATTATAAAATTTAATTCTAAATCACGCTGTTCTCTTAAATATCAATCCTTCAAGAAATAATTGGTCCAATTAATATGTGAATTTATGAATCGTACATAAGGTAATATTATATTATTAAATTTAAAGATTGTAAATTATTTAAATATTTTTAAATCATAAAATTTCCTATCATTAAGATTAAGGATATTATAAGCGATACTTTTCAATGATTATCAAACTTTAATATAGGTATAACGTAAGATCTTGTTTTTTATTTTATGGACATTTCTAATTCTATTACATTAGCAATCAAATTTTGTTTAGAATTAAAGAATTATTTTCTCTATAATAATTAACTTTTAGCTTCAAACACTTTTTTTTTATTATTTTTCATTTAATTCTGAATTTTAAGTAGTCTATATTAATGGTTACTTTAAAAAAAATGTCATTTTTTATAACTGTGATTTAAAATCTTTTTTTTTAATGTAACTCTATTTAGAGATAAAATTTAAATGATATGAGGAATGCATAAGCTATTTGTTATATCAAATTGATTGGTTGGATTCTATCTATATGTTAAATTTCCCAAACTACTTACTCTATACTATCCAAACCTTTTGATTATTTTTTATTATAGACAAGCTGAGATTAGAAAAGCTTAGAGCAGATTATTTTTTTTTGCATTTTTATTTAAAATAGATATTATCAAAATATCATAAGAAAAGAGATATTTAAGCAAAATTCATAATTGATATTAATAAAAATTAAGAAGCTTTTAATCTTATAGATAATATGATTACAAAATATCCAAAAAATATAGACAAATCTTAATATTTTAATTTTTAAAAATTAATATTATACGATGAGAAATTATTTGAAAAAAATTAGAGAATTACATGATGAAGCCATCTCGTATTAATCTGAAACTGTTTAATTATGTAAGAAAAAATGAAATATCATATTATTTATATCCTTAACTAGATAATATATTCACAATAAAATTACACACATCCTTGAGTTGTTATAAAAACATCTTTTATACCTAACTTTTCATTTTATTATTAAATAAATTTTAATTATAAATATGTTTTAATCTATGAGATGAAAAAATTCAATATTTCTAAAAATATGTCATATGAATAAGAAATTTATCAAAGTTTAGATAACACCTTCATAAATCTAATAAGTTTAGCCTTTTCTTGAAAAACTTGTTTGAGTGTTTCTTTTCTTTAATTTCATTCATTTCAATTAAAATCCGGAATATTCTATTAAAACCATCCCTTAGTTTAATTATATTTTTTTAAGAAATTAGCAGATTAATTTGATTTGATATCAGAATATTTAAAAAATTAATTAATTGTTAACTTCTTCGTTTGAATTTTTAGTATGATTATTGATAATATGGTGAAAAATCTGTTTTCTCTTTTCTCTTGTAGTTTTTATGTTGATGTAGAATTCATACCCCAAAAGATATTCAAGAATCTTTTGGATTTTTTATTCATAATTATTATTAAATTTCTTTTTCTCATTTTTCTATTCTATTGTACTTTTAATAGTTCTTTGATTATGAATTTACTATTTAAACTATTTTTACATCTAAAATTAATTTTCTTTGACTTAATTGTTTTAATTTAATTTTTTAACCTACAATCTTAGTGATAAATATTATTTATTAGAATAACAATAACAAAAATTTTTAATTTGTTAAGTTTTTGGTTGTCCGAAGGTTATTACTTAATCCTTTTTGGTAAATTTATAAAGTTTTCTAACATTTAAATCAAAACTCAAACAGTTTTTTACATCAATTTATAGCTATTTATGAATATTTTTTGATCTCTAAATTGATTAGCTATTTAGATATTGAATAAGGACCTAATTATTATCAATTTTTAAAAAGTATTAAAATTAATTTAATAATTCTTTTTATAGCTATAAATTTTTGAGGAACTATTTAAAGGAAAACTCTCACTCAAAGGTTTTAAAAGAAAAAAATAATGATGTGATGATTATAGATGGAATGGAAGGTTACTGAATTTCAAACTAATGGTTCTTCCAAAAAGAAAAATTTAGCAAAAAAAGAAATGTTGAAGGTTTCTTAAAAAGAAGGCTCCATCATATTTATGTATATGTTTATCATTTAGAATTCGTGATAAAAATAATATCGTATAAGACATAAGAAATTTAGAATAAATAAAATATTTAAGATGGCATGGATTATATGTTAATTAAATAAAAGTTGGAATTGGTATCTTTCTTGGATAGGAAAAATTGTTTAAGCTGGAGGATTTTAAGATGAGGAAGGATTCAAAATAAATAAGTGGATAGACTTATTTGAAAATTATTTGGAGTATATTAATATATCTATAATTTTAAAAATTCATAAAAATAACTTCAATAAATTTAATAATTTAATGAAATCATTGGATAATAACTCTAAACAATTTTTGCTTAAAGATTTTCCATTCCTTCTTTTCTATTCATTAATCTTTAATCTCAAGATGATCAATTGTAATAATTAATTAATTAGAGAGATGATTACAACACTCATTACTATTATATAATTGATCAATATCAAAATAATTTCTACATGGAGTCAATAAATCTGATAAAAATAATTTAGTTAAATCAAAACAATCAAACAAAATACAAAGATCGAAAACAAAAATCATCAAATAGAATTTTACAAAGTTTACTGAGAGTAATGATGCTGATTGTGAATCAAATTCGAATGAGTTCAAAATATAAAATATTAAAGATATCTTACACAATCCAATCATAAAATGTTATCATTTTCTATAATGACTATGGTAATACAATAAATTAAAATTTCAGAAATATGGCACATAGAAGGAAATTTGATTTTTTTTAATTTCGCTAAATATGTAAGTAATCTCTATAATTCGAAAGAATATCTTATATTCATATATTATAGCATCTCTTTAATTATAAAATATCCTAATTTTCTATGATGCTCCAAAACTGCTGAAAAAGTGATAAACAAGGATCATAAAATAATTAGAGATTAATAGTTAACAAATCTTTAAATAATAATTTTCTTTAAAATTTCTTCAAGAAAAAACACAAACTCCAATCTTTTGATGCTTATTTACGCGATTAGTGCATATTTTTTATTTTAAACCCAAAACTTATTTTTTAAAGATAAATAATTAATTTTAAAAGTAATTGGCCTTATGAATATCAGTCATAATATACATGAATTGAAGAAAATGGAAAATCATGATCATTGGGTCCAATCAGTATGCTTCTCTCCTGATGGCTCTACATTAGCTTCAGGTAGCTTAGATGACTCTATTCGCTTATGGGATGTTAAAACAGGATTACAAAAATACAAATTGGAAGGTTATGAATATCACGAATAAGGATTCAACTCGGTATGCTTCTCTCCTGATGGTATTTAATTGGCATCTGGTGGTACTGATAACTTTATCCGTTTATGGGATCTTAAGACAGGAGAAGAAATAGTCTAATTCAGTGGTCATAAAAGTTAAGTCTCCTCAGTAAGCTTCTCTCCTGATGGCATTAAATTAGCATCTGGTAGTGGAGATAAATCTATCCGTTTATGGGATGTTAAGACAGGATAACAAAAAGCAAAATTCGAGGGTCATAGTGATAGAGTCTGGTCAATCTGCTTTTCTCCTGATGGTACGGCATTAGCATCTGGTAGTGATGATAATTCTATTTTTTTATGGGATGTTAATACAGGATAGAAAAAAGACAAATTGAATGGTCATGATGATTCAGTATACTCAGTATGCTTCTCTCCTGATGGTACTACATTAGCATCTGGGAGTGGAGACAAATCTATCCGTTTATGGGATATTAAGACAGGATAATAAAAAGCAAAATTCGATGGTCATAGCAATATTGTAGTATCAATCTGCTTTTCTCCTGATGGTACCACATTAGCATCTGGTAGTTACGATAACTCTATTCGTTTATGGGATGTTAAGACAGGGCAATAAAAAGCAAATTTGGATGGTCATAGTGAAAGAGTCTTATCAATATGCTTCTCTCCTGATGGTACTATGTTGGCATCTGGAAGTGGTGATTAATCTATCCGATTTTGGGGCGATAAATCAGAGAAATGAATTTATTATTCATAAAAGCAATCAATAATATAATCTTATATTGAATTAAATTTATAAGTTATATTATTTAAAATATCGCTTTTAAGTATTTGCTTAGTACTGAATATGTTTCCATTAAATTCAGATTATTATATCCCTAAAAGTTAAAATAATAATCAAAAACATACACTATGAAGTTGATATTTTATAAGACTAAAAACAAATAATTATTTTACTTTTTTTCAATCTTGTAACATCTTGTTTCTTGAGTCAAAAGCCTCACCCTATCAATCATTGAAATATACAGTTAGAACACTAATGTAAGGGATGTAGGTTCACTTGCTCGTACTATACAATTTAGGAATAAATCCATTATAATAGCAGCAAAATTAATGTTGATACGACCCAGAATTTTGTGATAATAATAATCACTAACGCCAAACAATTAATTTTTATTTTTAGAATGTATTTTGCATTACTAATTTATAAGTATTGCATGAAGATTAAATTTTTTTATCCAGGCTGAGTATTCAAAAATATGATGATCTCACTTTTTAATCAACCTTTCATTTTAAAAATCAGACTTTTTTTATTTTTGTTGACTAGGAATTAGGTCATGATTTGATTTCATTCTTAAAATTTATACAATGATATACATTCAATTTTAATTTTGCTTTTAACAGTAACTTATCTAATCGTTAATGACCTCTTGAAAAGGAAATTAATTCAATGTTAAAAAATGTTAGAAATATTTGCATCTTCTAGAAACATGAATGCAAGTAATTCTCAAAATTCGATATTTTTATTTATCAATAACGATACCTCAAGAATAGATGAAAAAATAAATAAGTTTATTAGAGCTTGCAATTTATGGTAACAACTTTAAAATTAGAAAAATGTAAATTGATCTTCAACTGCAGATGATCATATCCAAAGTTTTTTATGAGATAAAATCTTTGTAAGCTATACTTAATAAATGATTTTAAATTCTCATGAAACCAACAATGATCTCATACACATCTAGGGATAAAATATTATATAATTCATATTAATTAGTTATCTTAATTTATATAATTTGAAAATTTAGTGTTAGAAAATTGAATTGTTATATAAAATAGTAAGTAAGTTTATTTATGTATTAAAGGTGAATATAAATATCTGGCATATAAATCAATACTCATTTAATTAAGTATTTTATACCCTAGATAAAAGTTGCTTTTAAATATTGATAAGAAGAATCAAAACAAAAAAATAACTTCCATAATCGAATAGCTGTCTTAGATATAATTCTAATGAATTTTTTGAACATATATTATTGCTCTTATTAGAGTTTTAACTAATAATGTTACTGAATCATTAATTCGTGAGATTAATTCAACTATATTGCATTCAATTTTAACAATCTCTCTTTTATAAACTGATAATCTCTATTTTAATTATTTCAAAGATTCATTAATAAATGTTTGAAGTATAATTGCAAAATTAAAAAAAATCTCAAGTCAATTTATATAACTCAATTAAAAATGATAAAATAAAACCACTTGTGCTTCATGTTCAACCAATTATTACGAGAACTTTTAAAGACTGCTTATCGTGATTTAACATGAGGAGTTAAACCTGAGAGGAAAAATTTTAATTTCAGACTTAATATAAAAGGAATATGCATCTAATAATGAGTAGCTTTTATTTTTTATTGCTTTAAATAAAGGCTATTATATTATTGGTAATATTTTATTTCTAAAATGCTCTATTAATTCAACAGATATATGCATAAATAAACTATATGCTTTTGATGGTAAATGATAAAAATAAAAAAATAAAACAGAAGAATATCTATGATTCAATATATTTACATATTTAATATATTTGATTTATTATATTTTAACTTCAAAAGAAATGCAAAAATATATTATTTACAAAAAGTTTGCAATCTAATATTTTCATAAATTGATTATTCCTAATCAATATATTTGAAAAAAGATAGTATCTTGCATTATTATTTAATTTATCTAAAAAATCAAAATGAAACAAAATCTATCATTCATTAATCATTATTATCAAGATTAAATTAATCAACTTACAAAGTTTGATTAAGTTTGTCCATTTATTTATAATTGATAGCTATCCAAGGGGAACTTTAGGTACTTTAAGTTTATCTCTATTTCTTAATTTCTTTTTCATATACTCAGTATGCAGTTTAAATATAAATTAAATCATATCTACAAACAAATTTGTAGCTAATATAGTTATAAGCATAGAGATATGGATCCAACCACATATTAAAAGGGAATCTTCACTTAAATTAAAACTGTAAATTAAAAATGAACCTATGGTTGTAAGGAAAATACCTTCCCTAAATATTAATTTGATATATTCATAATTTGATTTTAATGGTCGTTCTTTACATAAATAAATCAAGTAACATAAGGATTGAAATGAAAGTAAAATAGATTATATTTCAGGTTAATTGTAAAAAAAAACAATCAAAAATATATAAATGGTAACACGATACATTTAAAATGATTTAAAATTGCTTGCCCAAAATTTAGATTTTGATTCTTCAAAAAAATACTTCCATTTTTTTCTATTTTTTATTTTTTAACTGGTAATAGAGAGTGATTTAAAAATAAGATATATAATTAATCCAAAAGCAAATAATGAATTTATTGAATTAAAAGCATCCAAGAATGATTAAAAACTATAGTTAGGAAATTAAATAAAGGTACTAAATAGTAATTAATGGAGTATTGTAAAATAAACTGAAAAAATGCTTTTAGAGAAATAATCATGCTTTAATATCAAGCATTATTTTTGAATTTTATTTTAGAATAAACTTTATATCCTTAAATATTTAACATTTTCTTTTTTTGATTAAAGAAACTTGTTGAGGGAATTATCTATATATTTTGAAGTTATCAATTTATATATCAAATAAGTAATATAAGAGGTTAAGACTGATATATAACAACTTTTTGCATTTACTAAAAATATCTAATTAAATTAATTAATTTGATTTGTTGTTTATGAAGCTGTTCTTTTTAATTATGGAAAATCTCCTCCATTTAATTCAGCTAAGAATTAATCAATCTATAAAAAATCTACTATTATTTTCAATGAGATCTTTGAATATGTTTCTAGAAATGATGAAAAATGAGGTGGAAATTTATATTATATATATTTAATGTAAGAAAAAGATTACAGTAAATCTAATAGATTAAATAGTATTATTGGATTACCAATTAAAAATGCTAATGCAGCTATACTTATCATTGTGTACATAATAGCATCATTCATAGATATCATCTAAGTTAATTTTTATTAAGAATAAGCTGATAATATAAAAGGAGTTCCAATAGGAATACTTTTATTGTAACTTTTGAGACCAATATTGTTAGAGTTAAATATTATGTTTTCTTTAAACCTAATATTAAATTTAGAATTGTCAACATTTTCTTGAAACTATATAGAGAATTAATAATGAGGCATAAGTAATTCAGTAGTTAAATTTACAAGTGGAATAACAATCAATTTATATTGGGTATAAGGTTCGATAGAATAAGTAGCTAGATTTTCAATTGTGTTTGTTTGATTCAATTTAATCTCTTAAGAAAATTATAAATCTATGATTTAGAGTGAGTTTTATTCGTCAGATAATCTATTTAAGAAAAAATCAGGAACTTCAAGATAAGAACATTCACTTTATTGGTTTTCAAAATGTTAACACTTAAAAAAAGGCTCATTGGTACAAGTTTCAGAACATCCATCTCCTCCAATTGTATTTCCATCATCGCATTGTTCATTTAAACTAGGTTAAAATTTAGCATTGCCGCAATTTTATTAATCTGAATCATTATTAATTTAATTAAGATCATTTTAATTTATGAAAATTTAATTATTAATCGTAATAGTATCATCTAAATCTTCAGCATTTATAATTTACTAATCTTCCAAGATACATATACAATCTTCACTACAATAATATTTACATCCAGATTATATGTTTTAATTATCGAATTCACATTCTTCATCATCTGCTTTTTATCCATCTCTACAGATAGATTCACAAATTTTTGAAATAAAATTGAAATGAAAACCATATTTACACTAAAGACATGTATCTTGAAATTAAACTAAGCAATATTAAAATTATTAGAATTCACAATTTTAACAATTATCATCATAAATTTCGCATTATTCATTATTTGTGAGTATACCATCTCCACAATAAGAAATACATTAAAATTAATCATCAAAATAATATCCCTCCATGCATTTAATACAATCATTATTGGAACATTTAATACAATTTTCAAAGCATTAATTACATAACTGGTCTGGAACTTGTATCATTAGATTTTAACATTAATTTATGTTTAATGATTTTGGTTTACATCTTTATTCCATTATGTCAAAATAAGCATAATCAAAGCATTTTGAGCAAATATTGCCAATTTATTAATCACAATGATCAACCAAATCAAAAAGTTAGGTATGCTGTGTACATTATTTAGAATAGGTTGAAATCATATAATTTTAATTACAGCTCTAACATACTTTAAAAAAGCATTTTTAACAATTTAAATCACAACCAAAGTTTATATTATAGAGATTGCTTAATAGATATAAATCTCCTATTAAATTACATAATTCTGAATTATTTTCTAATTCATTTCCTATCATAGGATCACATTGCATTTTAGTTAATGGATGTTATAATTAGTAATTGTAACATATCCCATTAATACAATCTTAGCATGAATCTTAGCAACTATATTAACAAAAATGACATCCATCTCCATAAATGAAGTTTCCATCATCACATTATTCATCAACTGTTATAATCATGTCCCCACATATTGAATAACATAAATTGTCAATTAATGAATAACCTTCTATGCATTCTAAACAACCTATTCCTGATGTACTACAATTAGAACATGTTGATTAACATCTTGGTTTGCAATTTTAGCAACCCTTATAAGGTAATATGAAACTTGTTTCACACTATTCATTTGGTAATTATATAAAATCTCCGCATTTCTCTATACAAATATTCTTAATAGGATCGACATACCACTCATTTTCACATTCATAACATTTTCCAAGAATGCATTATATACATTCATTTTAACATTCTTAAGGACAATTACTAGTGCAATCAGAATGACATTTATTTATATTTGAGTCCCATGAATATCCATCTATACATTCACATAATCCATTTACAAGTCTCATATTAACAATATCCACACACTCAAAGCAAAAAGTATTACTTAAACACTAATTGCATTTCAATGGACAATCTTAACATTAATTCAATTCTTCATATTAGTTTTTTGCACAAAAACACCCTAGATTGGTTAATCTATATGAATTTTCGCATTCTTAACAAGAAAACTTTGATGTGCATCTTTTACATTATAAAGGACAAGATATACATAAGGATGTATGTATATCAAAATATTACTTAATCTAGCAATCTGCTTAAGAAAATTAAATTTATGTAAGATAATCAGTTCTATTCCAATCTTAACAACTTTATTAATCTATACATTGTCTACAATAAGGTTAACAATAATGAACTGCTAAATAGAAATTATATAATCCACAAAATGCTTTTATTGGTTCATTATTTTCACCTTTACATTCAAAAGTTATATTCAGAACATTTTATTGGTGAATTCTTTTTTCTGAAACTATATCTATAAAGGTCCCATCATCATTTTAATTTATCGCTTAGCTTTTATACTTAATAATTTGATAACTTTATTGAATTGTAATTATAAACTAACTATCAGATGGAAATTCAGGACCATACAAAATGTAGAATGCTATTGAAACACTATGATGTGGCCTATCAATTTAAAGAATTCTTTCAAACTTAGCTTAAGCCCAAACATAAGCTCCTCCAAATATCAGAAATCCATTCCAAAATGAATAATGAATATTTTATCCTTTCAAGAAATTATTTCCATTTTAATGTATAAGATTGTATTAAGAATTGTACTCAAAAGTCTAAATTATATTTTCTTTTATAAGGAGTTCAGAATCTATCATATAATAAAACTGATATACATTAGGTTTCATCATCAAAGTCTTTACAATATGATCCATTATTCTTTTGATATAAATCATTGCATTCTTATATACAAGTACCATCTCGATACAATAAGTATGGAATCTCACAAATCTTACACTTATATGATATATCACATTCTAAACAATAATTAGTGCAGTAATCAGATGTAATTTATATCCCCATCATTGCCCATCCAACTTAAGGATTCCTAATTTATATTACATTATACGTCAGATTTCCAATTGCTGTGAATAAAAATGGATATTAAGGGATATCAAAATAACCATAAATTTCACATAATTAATAATTCTAATATTATTAGTAAGAATATTCATATTTTGTGCAATTACTTGTTGTAAAATTATGTAATCTGATTCCAGAACTTGTATTAAATATTGATCCATAATAGGTTCGATTAAACTTAATATGAATACCACAATTAGGAGGTAATTCATCAAAAAATATCAATTATATACTAAGCCCAACGTAATATCCAATTTTTGGCACAATCTCTAATATTAAACGAGATATTCCAGAATTATTTTTTAATATTCCATAAATTAATTAATTGAACCAAAACACTTAAGGTACTGTATCCTAAATTTAATGATCATAAATCACTGACCAAAATACCCATTCAGTATAATTTTATAAATTTAAAGAAAACAATTCGGAAGCTAATATGAATAAAGTATTTACATTAACATAGTTTACAAAATCCATTTAAACATAATGGTTCAATGAAATTGCATTTTGGAAAGCAACCCTTATATTATACATAATATTAATTAAAAGGACAAGGAGGACAGATTTAATTTTCTTGAATCCCATAAAAACAGCTCGAACATTGATTATTTTCAGGTCCAGAGCAAGTTTAACATTTTGGATAACAATTATAATAGAAATTAAGAATATGAATATTTCTTAATGACACTTATCCATTTCCAACTATATTAGTAGAAATTGTAAAATTTAAAATTGATACTTAAGAATGAGTTATGTTTATTTATTAAATTTCATAATAACTATCATCACAAAAATCTTTGTTTAGCTGATAATTATTAGATGTATGATAATAAATATAGTTATATTTGTAAATTTGAAATTCTAATAAATTATTCATCCAAATGCCTTAGTAATACAAATCAAAAGATATTAAGCATTTATATTAACAATAAAATTTACATTGTTCATAATCACAATTATAAACTTGATTCGTGTTTGAATTCAATGTAATGTAATTTTTTAAAGGGGTTGTACAATTAATATAATAGGCTTTATTACTTAGATATGAGTTTATCATATAATCTGTATTTTAACAAATATCATTTTTTACCTGCATATTATTCATCAAAGTATCCTTTTATGCATATTGATGTTCTTTCAACCACTCAGACCTTTGAGTTTACAAAAAAATTGTTATGATGAGAATTTTTTTAATCATAATTTATTATTACGCTACTCAATCTATATTTCTTGCTATCAATTCAAATTAATTATAGTAATTATTTCTTCCCCCTAAAAACTAATAAATAATCAAATTAATAGCAAAGAAAATATTCTTTTCCTCTATTTAATCGATAACTAAAGAAAGACAATGAAGAAAGAAAGAACTGATAATATAAAAAAAATTGTAAAAAATAAATTTATTTATTACAATTTAAAATTTAGAGAAGGAAAGTTTAGATGAAATAATTGTTAATTTAGTGAAATTTGAAGACTTTATCATTTTTACATAATTTTAATTGATTTTTATTTAAAATTTATTTCATAGTACTTACAATATATAAGTTCGAATTTTATCAATTGTTAATTCAATATCAATATATAAGATAGAAGTAATTAAAAAATCCTGGAATACTATATATTATATAAAATTGATTAAAAAATTTATTCAACTTAAATTCATAAGCTATATTGTTCAAATTTGTTAATATATATATTTAGTTGAAATGTTGATTTTATTTCCAGTAGATTTTATTTAATCCATTAATCATTTGATATTTATATAATTAAAAATAAAATTTAAATTGGGATTTATTTTTTACATGTCTTCTATGACAATCTATAACTATTTCAATTAGCCATTGTATGAGATGATTTTTGAGAAAATCCATTAAATTAATTAATGATCCTTTTCCAAATTCTAACAACATTACTTAATTTCATCTAGCAAGACTTGTAATTTTATCAATTCTTAATGTGTTAGTGAATTCAGTATTCACCATGATTTATAATTAAATCAACATTTTGTTTCCTTTTATCCTCCAATCTTTATTCACAATACCTAGTTATATTATCAATTGATGAAATTTGAATAGATTCATCTCTATTAAGTAATATAAAATGGTTTCTAAATTAGTATAAATAAAAATAAAACAAATTAAAATATTCACTTAAAAAAAAAATATTTTTTTTTGTACTTAATCTGAGATGAAAAATTAATGGATACGCAATGTAAACATAAAGTTAAGATTTACAATGTAAATTTAATATATTATTCTAACTTAGAACTAATTCAATATCTTAGAGCTGCATAATTATTGATTTGGTAATGTAAAAAACTTATGCTTAAATTACATCTTCTATTAAATTTGATTAATCCAATAAATTATGATAAATTAAATAATTATTACATTTAAAATCATAATTAAAAATAGTATAATGATTTATTTTGTTAATGTTATATTGTGCACTATCATTGACTTGATTTGTTTATTCATACTTCATCTATATCTAAAAAACATTTGCTAAATATAAGATATTAATCATTAAAGTTGAATGTAAAAGGCCATAACAGATGATTGTTTAACTTCTATCCATTACTAAAGTTGAGAATTTCTTCTTTATATTTCTTCTATATCTTATAAATATTTCCTAATTATAAGTTATAAATTAAACTTTATTATCATAGCATAGTCTTAAATTGGTTCTTCTACAATATAATACATGATAGGTATCAACAATATGTGGCAATTTGAATAATATTCATATTGGATCAATTTTGGAATAACAATGTTATCATAATCAATTAGTGACAGAAAAGGAGATAATTCTTTTTAATAAATATGATTATACATTTTTGTCATTGTATATTAATATTGGAATTTATTATTAAAAATTGCAGGATTTAGAAAATAATTTATGATCATCTCTTATATTATGTTATTTATAAAATGTAAGTACAGTGCACAAACTATTTGAAAATTCATTCCTGGCTTATCTTTTGTAAAAATCATTTGAAAAAATTTTGAATAATAGATCAGCGCATGAGCAATGAGCGAAGCTTTTGATGATATTGCAACAGTCAACTCTTTAAAAAAATACACATCCACACATTCAGTTCATCCTGGAACAAGAACAAAGATAAAAATGGCTCGAAGTAGAACAAGGTCATATTACCGCACAGATGTTGGATCTCTGTAGTGGGCACATTTGGAGAAATGGCTAGGATGTATAAACAACTAATCTTGCAGTGGATATTGAGGTTCATTTTCAGAAAATTCAAAGCCAAGTGAATTAGAAATTGAAAAGAACTAGTCGACGTTCAGTTCTTTAATCATAACTAGTAATTCACTTCAAATTAATTTTAAAATTATTTATATAAGATTTGATTAAAAATTTGTTTATTTTTGATTGCCTAGGGTATTAAGATAATTGAAATGAATTAATGAGAATTGCTCATAGGATTAGTTTATATATGGAAAGTAATGATAGAGTTTAAGAAAAAAAAGAACATATAGAAAAAATTAAAAGCATTTATAATAATTATTTATAACAAAAAGATTTGTTCCTTTAATAATGTATTGAATTAATCGATTAATAGTAAAATATATCCTTTTGAAATTAATATCAATAAGTTAGTTATTCCCAAATTGATTTTTAAATAAAAAATAACTTTCTTAGTTCTATAAATCAATTAATAGCAGGTTCTGTTCTTATTTCTATAATTAACTTATATAATAAAAAATGACTCAAACAATATCTTAATAATAGGAATGGAAGATGAATGTTTGTATTTAACAATTATTATATTTAATATATCTAAATTAAAAGGGATAATAATATGAACCGTAAATTAATTATTTATTCTTTATAAGAAGTAACATTTATGGAATCTTTACTTATCTCTGCTATATCTATTCCATTTAAATATTTCTAATATACTAGTAAGTCGTAACTCAAAGGCTAATTTATCTAAAAATCCTGAGACTTAATAACCTCCTTAACTTTTAGTTAATTTAGAATCATCATAAATTTATAATTCTTATAAAAATTAGTATAATTTTTACTCGAATTATATCCATCAAGACATTCAATTGGAAGAAGGAAAGAGATTAATTCGACAGCAATAATTGAAAAGCGTTTTTCAAATATATTCTTATCATTATCTTAAATTAGAATAGTCATGATTATACTCTCTAAAATAAATTGAAATACATAAAGGATAAATATTTGCCATAAATACAAACATTGAGATGAAACAGATATAGGTTCCTTTAAATGAATTAATCCCAAGCTTCATTAACTATGATAAATCTGATAGATTACCCAACAAATTGGAGATATTATCAAAGTGTAGAGAATATTGTGTTTAGTGTTAAATCCACAATAGAATTAAATATTTAAACATTAACACACATTCAATCACAACAGATGTACATAGTTTTTTGAAAATATACTTTTTGCTCCTTCTCTATATTCTTCATTATATTAATGAGTAACTAATTCCCTATCAAAAATTCTGTCATGAAAGAAAAACTTTCGTAATAATTTAGTACATTATTCCTTAATGGATATGTGCATGAATATACATGATATCACATTTAATATTCCAAAAATAAGACTATTTCTTAATCTCATCTCTTAATGGAACCAACGATAAATTACTTAAAATACCATAAGTATATACTACTAAAATAAGCGTGATTCTTCTCTGTTTACAAATACACTATCTGTTATGTTTGCAGAAGTCTAATTTCAAGACTTTATTTCATTATTTTTTTATCTCTCTATATTATCTATAATGCCATATGATATTAACTTTATAAGGATCTCATCTTCTTCTCTTGCTTTTTTCAATCTTTCATCTCATAAAATATATGCATTTCTATTTCTTAATACATTCAATCAATTTCTTAAACTATTTCAATAATCCTTTTGCAAATATTCATTGATACAAATCTCTATCAATTTTTCAGGCATATAAATAATAATTTACATGAAACTTGCTTCAAAAAGGACAAAAAGGCTTATTAATTATTCATCATTAATGATATGAGTATTATTAACAACTTAGATACTTCCTTATTATTAAATATAAGAAAATATATTTTCTTATAATAAGGATTAAAATAATTGTTTTTATTAAGTAATTATAAAAGTATCGAAATGTAGAAGCAATAATAAGAGGAATTAAAAAAGACCGAACTATTTGCAGGAAAGTTTTTCTGTTAGTATTAAAGTAATGGAAATCGGATAGGGAAATAAGATAAATTAAAAGTGAAAATAAAAATTTTTGATTAGAATAAAAAAATATCATAATTGAAGAAAAAATTGTATGTTGTTAGCAGTAACTTAAATCCTAATGATTAAGAGAGGATTGTTTGTAGAGTAAGAAAGGAAAAAGAATAAATTAAAAAAGTATATAATAATCATGGTAAAATTTTACACCTATATGATGAAATATGGTTTTTTTTATTAAATGCTGATTATGTGAAATTAGTTGTAAAAATAATGAAATTGAATGAATGTATGCCTTAAATTGCTGAAATCTCAGTTTATATTACATAATTAGCTATAGATGATGATTACGAATTGAAGATAGCTAGATAAAATAAGACCACAGAATAAGAAAAAATTTTAGAAGAAAATTAATTGGAGTTGTTAAAATATGCAAGACTGTCTATGTTATTGATGTTTGACTTTATGAATGTATCAATAGAAGAAAATTGTTTAATTAAACAGAGTAAATAATTTAAGATTTTTTTTGCTCAATATTGCTACTTTTTTTAGAAATCTAAAAAAAATTTTTAAGTGAGGAGTTTATTTAAATCATATCACAGGCCTATTATAGAGAAACGATAACAACAATAATTTGAGAATTATCTTAATAATAAGAGATTTAGTAATAATTTATTTGAAAAATCTTTGATCTAAATCTTAGCACTTTATTAAACAGATTCTTTGAGTTATATTTCTCAATATAAAAAGCAATTTTCTCCATTTTTGGAAGAGATTAATCCAATTAATCATGTATTATTTTAAAGAATAGGTTTAGAATTTTTTGAATTAGTGAAAACATTTATAAAGCGATCCAAAAATTCAATTTCGAATTATTTAGTAGAATCTTATGATGATTATGTCTTAAAGACAGTATTTTTATGCACCCAATAGTTATATCAAAAAATTTAGCAAGATCCTATTTATAATAATTAACATAAGAATTTAATTAAAGTTAGAAAATTAATAACAAATGCATTAAGTAAATTTAATAAAGATAAATTCTTATTATTAAGTGATCATAATCTAAAAATATACTAATATTAAAAGAATGCAATTTATGATTTATATTTTATTGATTTTAAAGTACATCATAGATAGAGTAATTATAATGATTTTTTTGATTTCAGATACTATTAAAATTAAATGAATTAAGGATACAGTGAAATAGAAAATATGTTTAAAGAGAAGCATTTTAAGAAATCAAGGAAAAAATAAAATACTAGAGTGTAAATTTAGAAGAGAATAAAAAGGATATAAATGACATATTTATTTTTAATAATTTGATTTTTGAAGAATAAGAGACACCATAATTAATGATTTCTAAACTTAAGAAACATTAAAAGGAAGCATTATTTTGGATGCTTTATAGAGAAGGAAGAATAAAGGATAATAAATTTTAATAGAAGTAACGTTTGTCTCCATTATGGCAGGAGTATAAATTATTAGGTGGTGAATCATTATTTGTGAACATGTTTACAGGTAAGGTATCTAAAGAGATAGTAGTACTTTAAGAAACTAAAGGTGGTATTTTAGCAGAAGAAATGTGTTTGGGAAAAACTTTAATGGCTTTAGCATTAATTTTGGAAACTCTTAATAATGAGAATTAAATTCTTATTGTTGTACCTAAATCAGTATTAAAATAATGGGAAAATGAAATTACTATACATTCTAAGCCAGATAGTTGAAAAGTTTTAGTATAGTATAAAAATAAAGACAGAAAGAACAAGTAAATAGATATTAAGAGCTATAATATTATATTAACTACTTATGCAATATTGAGTATAGATTATTAAATTTGGAGTCAAATTAATAATATTAATCTTGAATAAGATAGTGAAGCTAATTAGACTGTTAATTTTGCTGAAAGAATTTATTCTAATGAACAATCCAGTGATTTCTCTCATTCGATTGATATATATGACAACAGTAGCTCTGAAGATGATTAATAAAATTAATCTTCTATTAATCCTACATATTAATTCTTAAATGAGAAGAGAAAAAAAAGAAAGTTAATAAAAAAAAGAAATCAAATTATAATAAAAGATGGAGAAAATTGAAAAAGAAAAGTAGAAAAAATAATTAAGTGATGAAAAATTAGAGAAAGCAAAAGATCATTTTAATTTATTTAAATAAAAATACCATAGAGTTATTTTAGATGAAGCTCATAATATTAAAACTAGATAAACATTACAATCAAAAAGTGCTAATGCTTTAGAGGCTGATTATAGGTGGTGCTTAACAGGTACTCCTATGTAAAATAAACATGATGATTTATTTGCTTTAATTTAATTTCTTAAAGTTGAAACTTTCTCTCAATAGTAATTTAATTTATTTGATTTTTAGTTTTTGGTGGAATACATATATAAATAAAGAAGAAAATGAAGAAGATTAAATAAGAATATTATCTTAAATTTTATAACCTATTATACTAAGGAGAACGAAAAATTCTTAAAGATTTGATGGTTTAAATTAAGTTGAAGAAGAAATTTGCTGGGTGGAGCTAAATGAAAAAGAAAAAATACTCTATTAAAAATTATTACAAGGTTCTTAAGATATATTTAAACATTTTACTATTGGAAAGAATAATAAATCTTATGTTCATATCTTTTAAATAATTAATAAATTAAAATTAGCATGTAATCACCCTCAATTAGCCTTAAAAGAAATTAATTTAGATAAAACACCAATGGAAGAAATTATAACAAAATTAATTTATTTTTTAAAATTAAATAATAAAGTACAAATATGACAGATTTATACAAAAAATCATTAATTGAAAATATAAGAAATGGAGACATATAAGAATGTGAAATTTGTAAAAATGATTAAATTGANCTTTGATCTAAATCTTAGCTCTTTATTAAACAGATTCTTTGAGTTATATTTCTCAATATAAAAGCAATTTTCTCCATTTTTGGAAGAGATTAATCCAATTAATCATGTATTATTTTAAAGAATAGGTTTAGAATTTTTGAATTAGTGAAAACATTTATAAAGCGATCCAAAAATTCAATTTAGAATTATTTAGTAGAATCTTATGATGATTATGTCTTAAAGACAGTATTTTTATGCACCCAATAGTTATATCAAAAAATTTAGCAAGATTCTATTTATAATAATTAACATAAGAATTTAATTAAAGTTAGAAAATTAATAACAAATGCATTAAGTAAATTTAATAAAGATAAATACTTATTATTAAGTGATCATAATCTAAAAATATACTAATATTAAAAGAATGCAATTTATGATTTATATTTTATTGATTTTAAAGTACATAGTAGATAGAATAATTATAATGATTTTTTTGATTTCAGATACTATTAAAATTAAATGAATTAAGGATATAGTGAAATAGAAAATATGTTTAAAGAGAAGCATTTTAAGAAATCAAGGAAAAAATAAAATACTAGAGTGTAAATTTAGAAGAGAATAAAAAGGATATAAATGACATATTTATTTTTAATAATTTGATTTTTGAAGAATAAGAGACACCATAATTAATGATTTCTAAACTTAAGAAACATTAAAAGGAAGCATTATTTTGGATGCTTTATAGAGAAGGAAGAATAAAGGATAATAAATTTTAATAGAAGTAACGTTTGTCTCCATTATGGCAGGAGTATAAATTATTAGGTGGTGAATCATTATTTGTGAACATGTTTACAGGTAAGGTATCTAAAGAGATAGTAGTACTTTAAGAAACTAAAGGTGGTATTTTAGCAGAAGAAATGTGTTTGGGAAAAACTTTAATGGCTTTAGCATTAATTTTGGAAACTCTTAATAATGAGAATTAAATTCTTATTGTTGTACCTAAATCAGTATTAAAATAATGGGAAAATGAAATTACTATACATTCTAAGCCAGATAGTTGAAAAGTTTTAGTATATTATAAAAATAAAGACAGAAAGAACAAGTAAATAGATATTAAGAGCTATAATATTATATTAACTACTTATGCAATATTGAGTATAGATTATTAAATTTGGAGTCAAATTAATAATATTAATCTTGAATAAGATAGTGAAGCTAATTAGACTGTTAATTTTGCTGAAAGAATTTATTCTAATGAACAATCCAGTGATTTCTCTCATTCGATTGATATATATGACAACAGTAGCTCTGAAGATGATTAATAAAATTAATCTTCTATTAATCCTACATATTAATTCTTAAATGAGAAGAGAAAAAAAAGAAAGTTAATAAAAAAAAGAAATCAAATTATAATAAAAGATGGAGAAAATTGAAAAAGAAAAGTAGAAAAAATAATTAAGTGATGAAAAATTAGAGAAAGCAAAAGATCATTTTAATTTATTTAAATAAAAATACCATAGAGTTATTTTAGATGAAGCTCATAATATTAAAACTAGATAAACATTACAATCAAAAAGTGCTAATGCTTTAGAGGCTGATTATAGGTGGTGCTTAACAGGTACTCCTATGTAAAATAAACATGATGATTTATTTGCTTTAATTTAATTTCTTAAAGTTGAAACTTTCTCTCAATAGTAATTTAATTTATTTGATTTTTAGTTTTTGGTGGAATACATATATAAATAAAGAAGAAAATGAAGAAGATTAAATAAGAATATTATCTTAAATTTTATAACCTATTATACTAAGGAGAACGAAAAATTCTTAAAGATTTGATGGTTTAAATTAAGTTGAAGAAGAAATTTGCTGGGTGGAGCTAAATGAAAAAGAAAAAATACTCTATTAAAAATTATTACAAGGTTCTTAAGATATATTTAAACATTTTACTATTGGAAAGAATAATAAATCTTATGTTCATATCTTTTAAATAATTAATAAATTAAAATTAGCATGTAATCACCCTCAATTAGCCTTAAAAGAAATTAATTTAGATAAAACACCAATGGAAGAAATTATAACAAAATTAATTTATTTTTTAAAATTAAATAATAAAGTACAAATATGACAGATTTATACAAAAAATCATTAATTGAAAATATAAGAAATGGAGACATATAAGAATGTGAAATTTGTAAAAATGATTAAATTGACACATTTTGTTTATCATCTTGTGGTCATGTATTCTGTCGAAAGTAATCTATAAAATAATAATTAAATAGATGTTTTACTCAAATTATTAATTAATAGTCATTGTGTCCATAATGCAGAATGAATTTATCAATTAATGATTTAATCGAAATCAAAATTGATAATGAGACTGAATCCGAGGATTTAAAGACATTGAAATATGGTAATAGAAGGTCTTAATATTCACACAATCAATCGATATGATATAATTGATTGAAAATTTGTTTAAAGATAATGAAATAATTACTTACAGGATTACTGGATAAATGAGCGTTGATAAAAGAAAAAAAGTAATCAAATAATTTAAGGAGTCTACAGATGCTATTGCGCTTTTACTTTCCTTAAGATCTACTTCAACGGGATTAAATCTTACTATGGCAAACAATGTATTTTTAGTTGATCCCTGGTGGAATGTAATTATATATTATAATCAAGCTGGCCATCGAAGATTAAGCCATTGGAAGAGCTGATAGAATTGGATAATAAAATAAAATTAAAGTTGTTAGATTTCTATGCAGAAACACAATCGAACAATCCATTAATCTCTTGCATTAAAAAAAGAAATTTTAAATTAAAAAACTTTAAGTGGCGAAGCTCAAAAAGCATAAGATTTACAAGACTTCAAATTTGTTTTATTTCAGTAATAATAATGAGTTTGATCATCATTTAATATTTAATAATTATGTAAATCTTTTTGTAAAGTACTTAATGTATTAAAGTTTTTTCGATTTAATAATTCAATTAATCAAATAAACAATTATTGTTTTTTAATATTAATAACTGTTAAAGTAAGTGATTTAATAGACTTTATTTTCTTATCATAAAAAGTTATTCTCAATTTATTAAACTTCTATTAGCTAACCTTCTATCAAGTTTTCAAATTAAAATAAGTACTATCTGCTTAAACAATTAGTCTTTAATTTGTATTTCCAATCCTTCGAGCTAGTATTATAGAGAGTTAAAGAGCTTGAACACCTAAAAGTTTGGCTTATCTGTTAATCCTTGATTCCAAACACAATAATGAATAACAGGTCAAAAATGTTAATTTTTACAAATAAATCTATAAACATTTACACTTTTTACTTATATTCTAATAGCCAAAATAAATGGAATAATGATATTTCATAGAACTTGTTCATATAAATAATTTAATTTTTAGACAGATCATTTCTTAATTTTAAGGAAAACAGAAAACAAAACTCAAATATAGTGGATCTAATTCTCTAATAATGCAATAATAATAGCAACTAATTTTCCTCTCAAATCATCTAAGGTACAGACTGTAGAATTAATTTAAGTTAATAAAGATATAATAGTAAATAAAAGCTAGAGAATTATGAATAACAATGAAAAAAAATCCTTTCAAAAGATTTCTATAAAAAATCATAAAATAATTCATTATCACTTAAGATATCACTATTTTATTTATTTTTTCAATTAGAAAATTATTAATCTCTACCCTTATCTAATCTCCTGATCTAAATAAAAATTAAATATAAAATCTCTCAGAATTGATAGCTTCAGAATAATGATGGAATTACACATCAATTCAATAAAAATGCAATTGAGAAATATTAAATACATATTGAGTTAGTATAATCCTTAGACTGGATTTATTAGTGGACTAGGTACATCACTTAATATATATATGCTTTTAGATTGGATAAGAAATATAAAAAAGAAGCAGTATTATGTACTGGTATTCATTGTTTTTTCAACCTCATATCTGAAAGAATACTTGATTCAGATGAAACATAATGTCTCTAAGCATTGCGCAGTAGAATATTATTTATTAATCCATACAAGAGAAAATAAAGGTTTTATTTTTCTAAAGAAATCCCAAAAGGCTCTCCAATATCTTCAGAATTATTTAATATTTATCTTGATTAATTTTTAAAGGTATTAATAAACAAAATCGATTTTGGATATGCAGATAATTTAGTATTGCAAACCAATTTAAGAAATGTCTACTGATCAGAGAATTATGTACGATCAGTATTCTTCTCACCAGATGGAACTAATTTAGCATCTGGTACTGGTGATAACT